AATGATTTATATTAATTATATTATTTAAATGATGTATATTCATTTAATTAATAATAAATGCATAACTATGTAAATACACATGGATGTATTACAAACAATATACCTACACAAATGTATGATCATTTATGTTAAAGTATGAAATGACTTAAAGTTGGCATTAAACGGAAGTTGCGATAGCCTTTTCTATCCTATTGTGACGTATGAACGGCTTCTCGAACAAGAAAAGGGTGTCCCGCCCTCACGCCAGTAAACACGTCATCAGAGAAGAGATTTTGCTGCAAGAGTAAATGAAAATAAGTGAGGAGCCGTAAGTCGTGCGGCCTGCGGACGGCATGTTCTAGCGAGAATTGAGATGCGGGAAATGTCACTTACAGTGCATGGAAATGTACATCAGCTGTACACTCATAATTGAAGTGCATTATGGGATTGAATGAGTGCGATAATGACAAAAGAAACAGTGCAGTCAAACTGTTTTATCAGCATATTTGAACGCTGCTCGACCAATCAGAACTGCTGAATGAATTGTCAAAACAGTGAACTTTATAAGGCACAAACACAATCAGGATCACTAAACTGTCAGTGAATACAGCTAGAACAACATAGATAAAGTGAGAAGCTTTGCACTCAGTGAACTGAAGCGCTTTTGAACCTCACTCTTTATCAAGTGGACTGTCTGAAATCGCATACTTACTGGGTAATTACTTTGCAACTGTTAAAAAAGTATGTTATAGTATCAATGTGTGGAGAATATAATCCAGACGTACTACATCCATCATATTGTAATTGTCATGTGACCTACCAGCATCAGTTGCGTAGCTTCACTGCCATTCATTTATCCTCTCCCGTGGCCTCATGGGATAGTAAAGTGTCCAGCAGATGTGCACTTCAGAATCTCACCAAAAGTAAGTCATCCGGGTACTTCTTGCCTACAGTTTTATAAATACTGTGAATTCAGACATCTACTACACAGTCGTGAAATATGCGATTTCGGATGAAGCCATTCAGTCAGCCTAAAAAATTATTTGGCCCCTAAATGTTTCTTTTTCTTTTTTTGAGCCCTAAACTTAAACTTCCTTAAACAGTCAATTTTTAAATACACATTGTTTAATAATTGATTAATTTATTGCAAAAGTGTAGTCATAAAGCATACTGTCATAAAGCAGAGCATAAGCAATGACTTAACCATTAATTTAAACAAAATAGCTGTAGAATGTCATGTTGGACATGGACCCCCAAAGGTTAAAGTTGACTCCACCTATCTCTTTGTGTCTGTTTTGCTAGACCATCTCTCCTCATTGTGAGTCCGGCTGTTTCTGCAATGGATTTCATGCCCAGTGCCAGCAGACCATTATCACCATTAGACAAGGGCCTTGGTGTACTGGTTTGTACTTTAGCGAGCTGGCTGGACTCCACTCAGAGGAAGATTCATTATGGATAGTCCCAGGGTACTGAATGCAAACCTGACCCCACTACCACCCCCACAGGGGTTTGTGCCCAATGGACCATTATGATGTCCCTTGGAGGCACCGGACCATGAATTTATGGGCTATTTTCCTTCCTCTCCGCTTCCCAATGTTCCATTATGTTATTCTATGGTGTTTAGATGAAGCTAAATAGTATCTGTTCCAAAAACTTCAAATAGAAACATTGAACTCATTAACTCCCTTAGCTGTAAGAAGACAAATCTGCCAGAGTCAGGAATACCACGTCCTAAATGTTTTAAATGGTTTCCTTTTCCACATCCACGATAGAAGTGGCCTTTTCTTAAACCGCACTGACTGGAAATAACCACTGATGCCTCAGTCTGCAACGGTTTCAGTCTGTGTAGGCTAACTTACACTGAAAGTGTTGAATTATCATTCGTACCGCGTAGTATTACAATGTGACACAATTATGTGTAACAATTATGACACAAAAGATTATTCAAATGACTAAACTGGAGGTAAAAATACATCACCAATTGTATAACAACGCTGCAACAGAAGTTTCCAGTTTAAACGGACGCAATTTAGTTTTAATTGGTCGCAATGAGTCATTCGTGTCTGATGTAACGTTATGTGCTGCGCCCAAAATCGCGTACTTTCAGATTATGACGTAGCCTACTAAATTCAATTAAAAAATTAACTTACTTCTCTATATGGTCAGGTCCAAACAATGCTCCGCGATTCACTTAATGAATCTTTTATTTAGAATGAATGCTTCGGAGCTTTTATCAAGCTGACCGAATCACGTGTTGATCTCAGGAGAAATATGATGAACCCATGAACCAACATTAAATGTAGGCTATAATTATCACTGATTTCGAAACGTTTTTTTTAATCTAGGTTCTTTAAATTTGAGTATAGTTTTGTATGTCACTAAAACCAACACTTTTCTCGTACTTCTTTAACCAGACAGATTTGACTCGAAACGTTGACTCATTTTGTAAAGTGATTCAGTGTATTCGAAAAGCGATTGAATCAACTTTTTATGGTTCCTCTATGCGGTGCCTGATTAGAAATGACAGAACATTGGTTTACACTGTAAATACTGTATAGAAAACATGTTCATAGTGTATTTTAAATTACATATCAAATATCACCTTAAATATTGCTGAAGCAAAATTTCCATCATGAAATAGCAAAGTATTATAGTTGCACATAACTTCTGTTTCATTAATACTACAAATTAGGACATCCTACAGTGCACTCTTCATAGTAGGCCTATTCATAAAACAATACATGGAAAGTACCCAGATTACCTACTTCCATCGAGATTCTGAAGTGCACATCTGGACACTTTACTGTCCCATGAGGCCATGGGAGAGGAGTAGTGAATGACAGTGAAACAACGGTGCAAGTCACAATGCAATGACAGCATGGTGGATGTAGTAAGTCCGGATTTCATTCATATAACACATTCATACGATACAATACATACAATTTTATCAGTCACAAAGTTCCACATCAAATACTAAGTATATTGATTTTTGAATACTACATAGTAGCGAAGTGAGCATTTTCTGAAGTGAGAATGGAATTATACTCTCTGCTTTGGGATTTATAGGTTCAAAAACCCACAGATGGTATGAGTCCATGGTAATAAAACTGACCAACCCAAAGGTTAGAGGACAGGGCTGGTGGCTGTTGACCCCAACCAAAAAGGTCACTGGCGGTCACTAGTGGAAGTAGCTAAACATACAACAACTCAGCAAATGCTTTTGTCTGTTTCTTTTTTTCAGTGCTTTATCCCTTTATCCCAAACACGTTTCGGCAGCAGCACAATCAGTCGAACATTCTGTAAGGGAGGTACAGAAAAGGTAGCGGTCTGGTCCGTATGGAAAGTATCAAAATGCTTCACTCCCAGCTGAAGACTCGCAGACAGCAGGTGGAGTCTGGAGGCAGCAATGAGGTCATTGGGGCCAACAATTTTCACATGGGTTTGTTTTACAGTGTTTACACCAGTCAAAACTCCCTAGCGTTAACGCCCACATACCACGCGGTGAGCTAAACCCTGTGAACTCTAGGTATGATCAAAAAAATCGCCCCATTTATGCTCATAAAAACACAATAGAATCACTGACTGAGATGGACGATGGTGGCATCTCCCCAAAACTGAATTTGTCCTATATCTGGGATTGAGCTCTGTTGTTTGGGCCTTACTCTATCCTTCAAGAATGTTTTCATCAGTAAACCCCAGAGCTGATTTCACCATGCCCCTCCCATCGGCAAAGAGCCGCACCATCCAAGAATGTCATCCAGCCTCTGCATCCTCAGGATCAGAGAAACGTGTGCCATTTATAAACAATGACGACGGCAAAAGCAACACAGGAACATATGAAGTCGCAAAAGTTTCTATGGCAATGAACCAAAAGACAGGGTTACACAAGTGTCTGTAAGCTGACCACCCATTTGTGACCTAGTTACAAGCCTGACGTGAGAGAAATATCAACATGAGAAGCAAAAGCTAATTCACACTGCTGATACCTACATTCATTTAAGAACGAGACTGCCCTCTGCTGTACACAAGTAGTAGTTCACAGGTAGCAAACCAATTTGATTATGCCAAGCAGGAAGTAGCAGGAAACAATTAGTCACACAAGTTCACCAAGTTCAGTCTTATATTGGTCTTACATACATTTTATATACAAATGCTTTAAAATATGTGTATAAAGTTATATTTTGGCATTCTAATACATCGCATGTTATGAACTCTAAAAGCAGCTTTTGCATTATTGAAAACAAATGTATTTAAATGCATGACTCAGATGTTACAACTTCTGTGTGTGCATCAGACAAGACATGCAAATTATGCTAAAGTTTCAATCCTTACAGTAGAAAACAAAACAAACTTTAAGACATGTATGCTTCATCGAGAACTGTCCCATAATCCACCTCCACATGTCAATGATTCTGTCAAAGGGAACATAAGACATATTAGGTAAAAGTTAAAAGGATGTTATATGTAAACACTGGCTGCATCTGAAATCGCATACTTCCCTACTATATAGTAGGTGAAAAACAGTATGTGACAAAAGAAGTATGCCCAAATTCACAGTACTCATAAAAGAGTAGAAAAAAGTACCCGGAAGACCTACTACTTCCGGTGAGATTCTGAAGTGTGCAAACAATGGACACTTTACTATCCCATGAGGCCACGGGAGAGGATTTATGAATGGCAGAGAAGCGACGCAACTGACACTGGCAGGTCACATGATAATGACAACATGGCGAACGTAGTATGTCTGGATTATATTCATACTAAACACACTCATACTATAGAACATACTTTTTTAGCTGTTGTGAAGTAAGTACTTTCAAAATAAGTAACTACTCAAGAGAGTATGTGGGGGGGCTCATGTCTGTTCACGCCGGGGATGCCATGAATTATATGATTGTAATCATAGATAGTAAACTAGCATGCTGAGGACTCATTATCCATCATATCATCTTGGTTAACCTACCGTCCCCTGACACGTCAGTTTCATCCATGCTTTTCTTTTCTTGTCCTCATCTATTGAACCAGAAACAAACACATGAAAATAAACCAAGAAATTTCCAAGAAAAACAAACAGTAGCAACTGGAGTCTAGCAACCAGTATATCAGAGATTTGCATCTTATTTATTGCAACAAGTCCACACCCAATTCATTTTGCATAAATGCGGGTTTGGAACTGGTAGGTCTACTATTATTTGACTTGAGTTGAAGCCTTCCATCTGGCATTTGCTTTTAATTATTATTATTACTACTCTTATTTTGACTGGAAATGGTCATTAAACTTACATTTAGAATTCTTTTGTCGTGGATTCTATCATCTCAGACCAAATGTGTACTGTTACCAACAACATTCTCACCATTTCCTTCAAGCCAGCGGCAACAGGTGTGTCGAACTGCTGTCAGTTTACCTTTAATTGTCAATCTACCAAACAAGGCAGCTGCCAGGATCACTGTCAGAAAAATGACAGCAGACAGTAAGATCTTCTCAATGTCCTGAAAGTGACTTCTCTCCTGGGCACGACACCAATTTACTGTGATTAAACAACAAAATGCACATTCTTAATAGCTTGTGGTCTTGTGTAAACAGTGGCAATACAGTACAAATAAAAGTGGACATTTTCATTGACATGAAACTAGCTTTCCAGTAAAAAGCTACATTGCCACCGCATAAATTTTCATTGCATTACTTTGTGGTCACAACTTTATAATATAGTTAATTACGTTTTTAGCTTGTAGTGAAGCTACATGGAACTGTTTTTTTTTTTAACGGAACATGACATGAGAAATCAAATCTGCCTTGATCTTTTGAAATGTAAGAGGTCTCTGTATCATTAAAACATATTGTAAAAATTAATAGCATTTAATCAAGTTCCAAAAACGGTTCGTTGAGTAGCTGTAGCTGTAGCACGGGCGACACTTTCTAAATCAGCTACATTTTCATTAGCATGATGCTATTTTAACTGTTTTCAAAACAGTGTAGCTTTTTCAGTAAGGAGCTACACTGTAAAATGCTACATTGCTTTATTTTTCATCCCATTTTATTGTGGCCACAACTTTATAAAGTAGTTAGCTACTTTTTTAGTAGCTTGAGTGTAGCGACATGTCACTATTTTTTAAAAGATTAACTTTACTGTCATTTGTACAGCGGTTCGTGAGTAGCTTTAGCTGTATCGCAGATGACGGTACTTATAACTACATTTTTATTAGCATGACACTAATTTAGCTATCAAAATTGTTTCGCTTTTCCAGTAAGTAAAATCGCTACATTGTCATATTTTTCACACCATTGTTTTATACCCACAATTTAGCTATTTTCTGTTAGCAGCTACCACTATAAAAGATTAGCTTGACTGTAGTTGAACTATTTGGAAGTATAAGTAGCTGTAAATGTATTACAGGCGACGCACTTAAAGGGTTAGTTCGCCCATTTAAGACATGAAGTTGTATGCAATCCTTACCAGCACTATAGTGCATACACACTGACCCACTCTGTTGTCATCTCCCTGGTCAGAGTTCTGGCCGCTGGAAGTTTTTCAATAAAGTACTCTCGGTTATTTTCCGGGGCCACAAAACTGTGCGTTTTTACGTGAAAAAATGATTTGCGTTTCAAAGCTTGATTAATTTACCACACAAAAAACACGCCGGTCAAAATTAATTCCTCAGTTTTAATCGGAACTATTTTCTATCCATTTCTATCAATCCGCGCTGATGTCAACGTTACAGAACAGTGCGCACGTTCCGATCAGCTGTTGATAGCGCGACTCGCTGACAACATGTCTGACTGCGAAACTTCTGATGATGAAACCAATTTTAGCACAATGTCAGACGGATCAGATGATGAAAGTAATTTTAGCACAACGACAATGTTATTGATTGCAACACAAAACCTCAATTGTGTGTGTGTTCAATCAAATAGTTTTCTCAGCAAATTGTACCAATATCCCTATATACTGTTTTTATATTAGACATCTTTTCACGTGTTTTATAATGGAGTCTAAACATCAGCTTGTTTACCGTACAGTTTAGACATGGGATCATAAAGTTAGTAAATAGAGCTTACCTGTGGTATTGGTACAGCAAAATTCTTTAATTTTCCTTTTCCTCCTTGGTTGGGGATGTAATCGTCTTCGCTGAAGTGAGCACTACACACACGAAAATCCTTTATTCTGGATATTTAAGCTCCCGCAGAGTAGCCGATGGCAACCAGCCAAAGCTGTCTCATAGATATATTCGAAACAGGAAAACGATGGAATCTGAACTTTGATCCCGGCACATCCTTGTGGTCACAGCCTGGGAATTTACAAGTTCGCACCATTGTTAATTTAATACTTTTTACGTCGTTGTCAATCGATTGTGTAAACACTATGGAACAGCTGATGCGCACTGTTGACGTTGACAGCAGCGCGGATTGATAGAAATGGATAGAAAATAGTGCCGATTAAAACTGAGGTATGAATTTTGACCGGCGTGTTTTTTGTGTGGTAAATTAATCAAGCTTTGAACCGCAAATCATTTTTTCACGTAAAAACGCACAGTTTTGTGGCCCCGGAAAATAACCGGGAGTACTTTATTGAAAAACTTCCAGCGGCCAGAACTCTGACCAGGGAGGTGACAACAGAGTGGGTCAGTGTGTATGCACTATAGTGCTGGTAAGGATTGCATACAACTTCATGTCTTTAATGGGCGAACTAACCCTTTAACTCAGATTTTCATTAGCATGACACTAGCTTAGCTGTTTTCAAAATAGTGTAGCTATTGCAGTAAGATGCCACACTAATAAAAGCTGCATTGCTATGTTTTTCCCCACATTGTATTCCCCCACAATGTAGTTATCTACTATTTTGAAACTTGTAGTGCACTGTAGCTACATGTAAAAAAATTTTTAGATTAGCTTGCCTGTAGTTGAACTACTTGGCATTATGATCAGCTGTATATCTTGTAGCTCAGCTACAGTTTCAAAGGGGGTTACCCAACCTCATCACCATTATAGGCTATGTACTTACAACACTGCAAGTCGCACTGAAGTACAGGGACTGAGAAGTGCACATCTACCCTCTGGACCTTTTGCACAGGAAAACATGAAACAATGTACATCAATAAATCATAAATTACATAAATCCAATAAGTTTTATCAGCACTGTCACTTTCTTTGTTGTCTTACCTGGATGCAAACACACACTTCACATGCATTTTTAGACAAGTTGAAAACTGTGCGCTTCATTTTGCCCTAGAAAACAAATAAGAACTGGCGTGGCATCAAACAGGCTTAAACAAGACTGCCCCTGTTTTCCTTAGAACAGACCCTTTTCTTTGTCATGTCATCAGTTACAAACCAGGTGAAAAGTTTTACTTTGACAGGGGAATTGCTTTCAATGGAAGCCTCAAGGCATGGTTTACTAAGATGAATAGGAGAGTACCGAAAAACAAAATTATGAAAAAAACATCTGTATGACATCATATCATGTACAATTGCTCTGAAGATGTTATCACTAATCCTACATGCTGATAATTCTGCTAATGTCTCCTTACCACAGAAAGGGTTTGGGACTTGTTTCCCTCGATTTGTTTGCACTTAGAAGATGGTTTCATCTCACACACTGAAACTGAGAAGTTGGCTTTGACCCATGTTGATATCTCTGCCCACTGCTGACCATTTTTTGATGTCATCTTTGCTGTCCAAACTTGTCGGATAAAACATTAAAGTCATTTAGCCATCATACAGTGTGTAACATAAACAAACTGCTTGTTAAACATGTCCTAGCTAACAGGGAACGTTCTCAGGGCGTTCTGGCAGTAACTTATGTGTAAACATTCTTCCAGTAACATTAAAAGAACGTTCATGGGAGTTTTTTTTTTCTAAAACATTTTAATTGGACGTTCATCTAACATTTTTTAAAAGTTATTGTTTTAGAACTTTCAGAGAACATTCAAAAGTAACATTTCCATAACTAAATGGAGAGTAAGCAAAACATATTTGTGTTTGCTGTGGTAGTACTTTGTATACCTGAGAAATTCCCTTTGGCAAAAGGACACTTAATCCATGTCCCCACTTCAGTAGTAAACTATAAAAAAAAAATAAAAAAAATAACGTCATTACTGTGAATTCTGACCCAACCCAATAATCCATTTTCAATGAAATCATTATTTGTCAATGACCATTAATTTAAAGTAACAGTTCACCCAAAAATGAAAATTCTGTCTTCATGTCTTAACAACTCATGTGGTAAATTCCAAGCCGTTTGACAGTTTTTGTTTCAGGAATAGACCATAATTAAAATTATAAGATGTTTTTCATTAAAATTCACAGAAAACCTTCTCCGCCGGTATAGCTATGTAGCTAGATAGCTATAGATACGATTACCATTATCTTTAAAGCTAAGTGTAATATACCGCGAGAACAATATGGATATAGCGCAGGATAGTCATATGGACAACTTCTATAATGTTTTTATGTTTTGACATTTTTGTAGCATGACAGCTCTAGTCCCATCACGTTTAGTATAGAGCAGCAGGAATATACTGCTTCATTTCTCCTTTATTGTTCCAAGGAAAAATAAAAACCACACGTTTAGGATCACGAGGTTGAGAAAATTCGGACAAAATTTTCATTTTTGGGTCAAAGAAAGCAATAAAAAACATTCTACCTTCGTGCAAAGAGTAGGGTGTGGATCCACAGAGGAGAATATCACCTGAGGTAAAAACAGTAAGAAATGATGAAAGGGTTCCTGACAATCAGCAGCTATAACTGCAGATGTACTAAAAAGGAACAAAAGATCAGAGAGGATGAGAACATACTTTTTCCCCCTTTGAATGAAAAACATTTCCGAGGTCTCGGCAGCTTTTTCCTCCATCAACATGGCATAGAGAAACTGACACTTTGACAGGACACAGCGGCTCCCATATCAGCTCGTCCTTACTGAAGTCATAGGTTATCCCAGACCACAGTTCTTCTAAATCTGCATTTTAAACAAAAACATGTTCAAAATTATAATCAAAATCTCTCTTGTCCATAGTGATTTACAGTTTGTCTTGATTGCTAACACACTCTCACCAAAACCCAAACCATTCATTCAGTTCTCAATCTACCTCTCAACAAAAATTCCCTAATTCTGCTCAGGTTTAAACATGTTCTCATTCAGAAGACACAAGTACAGCTTATAATGAACTCATGCGTCACAACGTGAACTCAAATAACACACATTTATCCATGTTTGAACATTATGTAGTAAAACTGTGGCCTGTTGCATAAAGCCGGTTTTAGTTGCTACCCAGGTAAGTTTGAGATGATGCATTGCTATTGATCAGTCTTAGAGTGGACATGTAAGTGACTGCAGAGACTAAACTCTGAGGTGCAGATGCACCCACAGTGTTGAAAGTACAGCATGCATGCCTGCCCTGGCGGCTTTCCTCTGCCGCCTGGGACATGGCCGCTTCCTAGGCATCAAGACCGGTCTTACAGGTGCCAGACCTTCGATGGATGTTACTGGGACGCCATAGACCTTCGGTATAACTTTCAGATGATCTATATAATGTGTTTTAGGGCGGTCCACAGTTTACTGTCCTTGCGGGAGCTCACCAAACACACAGCAGCAGTGGCATCCGGTCAGAAGGTCACTATATCTAATAACATGACCGATCCAGCGCAGTTGGATGTAGGCCTACTAACCCTCTGGTGCTCTTCGCGTGTCGGTCAAAAATGACCGAAGTTAATATTTTTTATTTCAATGATACTATAGTTCGAAAATGTTTTTTATTTCTTTTTTTTTTTTTTACGGGGATTTCATGGTAGTAAATTATATTTACGCTGTATTTATAATCCATTTATTCACTTTTTGAACATACACCTGAAAATGTATTTTCCAACTTAAACCGTCGTAAATCTCGAATGCTTTAGAGCACAGACTTAAGTTTGATCTCTTTTCAAAGATGACACTTAGCAGATTATTACTGAAGTGAAAATAGTTTTTAAACAAGTTTTTTTTTAAGAATTTTATGACATTTTTATATGAAATATATATTTTCAAAAACAAATTTTACTCTAAAACTGTGAGAAAATCAAAGCCATAAATCTAAACAAGTTGTGTTAAAAAACTTGTGTTCGCTTTTAGTAAGATTTTGTTTGGCCGCAGTACAGAAAGTTTTCACTAGATGAAATTCGTCTCCCATTCATTTCCAATGCGGTCTTTTTTGACCGTGAGGAGCACAAGTGTGACTATTTTTTTCAGGACTATTAAACCTGTTTGAATCATTTGTTTTTGTGTTCACATAGCAAGTGCCATTCCGTACCATTACCAAAAAATAAAATAAAAACAAATATAACATTTTTCCTTCAAAAATGACTGAAAAGCATGTATTCCAATGAGGTGATGTTAGCTTTGCGCAGAAGTTCATTATGGGTGACATGATGCCACCAGCAAATGCCAAGCATGTTTATTTGGATCCCCATTAGCCACTACCTAGGAAGTGGCTACTCTGGTCCAAACAAGTAAAAATACAAAACTATGTAAATGCATTTATTTTCATTGTATTTTTTAATAATGATCTCTTAATCTTCAGCAGAGAAGTGAATTGTGCCGGCTCTCTCGCGAGAAGTGAATCAAACTGACACTCTCCATATTCTACAGTATGTTATTGGCTGTTTGGATAAGAAATAAGTACTCCATTTACAAATATGAGCAAGTGCTAACTAGTATATAAAATCCAATACAGATACAACACAACCAAGTGCAAATAAGCAGGCCAATGCAAGATTTTTTTTTAATTCAGTCTTGAGGCGGGTCTGAAGATTGACTTAGATGTTGCCACTTGCTATGAAGTTGTAGGTTACTTCACAAAACTATGTAAATGCATTTATTTTCATTGTATTTTTTAATAATGATCTCTTAATCTTCAGCAGAGAAGTGAATTGTGCCGGCTCTCTCGCGAGAAGTGAATCAAACTGACACTCTCCATGTTCTATGTTATTGGCTGTTTGGATAAGAAATAAGTACTCCATTTACAAATATGAGCAAGTGCTAACTAGTATATAAAATCCAATACAGATACAACACAACCAAGTGCAAATTAGCAAGCCAATGCAAGATTTTTTTTAAATTCAGTCTTGAGGTGGGTCTGAAGATTGACTTAGATGTTGCCACTTGCTATGAAGTTGTAGGTTACTTCACAAAACATTTTTTGTCGTGTAAATTGAAAAATTGAAAACATCTAAAAGTTAAATGACTTTTGTTTTGAATATTGTACATTTTACTCACTGTTTTTGAATGGACACACTTGAACTCTCCGTGCATCTGCTCTGGCAGGCCAACCCTGAAAAAGAAGATAGTGGAAATCATCGGTTCATTCTCTAACAGTCAGATTGCACATTAAGAACATCATTTTCTATAAAATAAAGCTTTCATACCTCAATGCACAAACAGGGTAATGCTTTGGAATACTGAAGCGTTATGCTTTTCTGCAGATGTTGTGGTTTTATCTAAAACATAATGCAAAACAAAAGGGTAAAATGTCAATGACAAAGTCTTGAGGAACTTGTGGAGAAGTGTGCTCGCTCTTCTTACCGTTCTGTGTGGCCCTTCCCCTGCACAGATAACACTGCGTTTATGGCAGAGCCTGAGATTGTAATCTGTGTCCTCACGAGCATTAGTCACTTTCACTGTTAATGTATTCCTGTCTTTATCTACAGTGTATGCCAGCTTCCCAGCTACAACAAAATGACAAAACAGTTAAGGCTTTACATACTGACATATCTGTCTGTCTGTCTATCTATCTGTCTGACTGTCTATCTATCTGTAATCCATCCATCCATCCATCCATCCATCCATCCATCCATCCATCTATCTATCTATCTATCTATCTATCTATCTATCTATCTATCTATCTATCTATCTATCTATCTATCTATCTATCTATCTATCTATCATTGTATTGACATCATAATAATGAAACTTACTGATGCACTCTGCAATTGAGTCTCTGATTCCTTCATGACTGCATTCTGGCATTAAAAAGAAAAGGGCAATAGATATTGTTATTCATGTCATGACTCATGTGTCTGGGAATAAGAATATAGACTGCTGAAAAACAGAATAAGGAGGAAGTTCAAATGGGTGGAATTAGAAAAAAAACACAATACTGATACCGGGAACAATGTGTTGTTGTGACTGCATGGCCGTACAGTAGTTGGGAATCGTTTTGAGAGTCACAAACATATGCTGTCCAGGTCTAACGGGAACACACTTAAACTGCACATCAACCTAGAAGTAGAAACAGATTATACAATATCTGACAATCATACACGGCAGGAGATTACAATGACAGATTTATGTCCTTGATAAATGCTCAGTGGTTATGCTAGCTAGATGTCTAATTGTAGCTTAATATGTTCATACCTGTTTTCCTGTGGCGTTTCCTCTGCCAACTCTGCCAAATGTATAAATCTGGCAATGTCCTATCATCCCTGCAGAATCAGCACACACTAAAACTCCACGGATATCACCTGGAAAACAGGTCAAAACTTTATAAGAACCTATTTATTTATTTATGGGTGGAGCAAAGTGGTGACATTTTGCACAGTTTTTCCTTGAATTAACATTTGAGGCTAAATCAACAAGGTAGTAACTATTAAGGCACTATGTGGTTGGTTAATGTTAGACCTTTCCGATTATAAAGTAAGTAATTAATAACTTATTTTTTTGAAAAAAGTTGTTTTGAAAGATAGTTGTACTAAGAAGCAGTACTGTGTCAATGAGTTACCGCAGTCTTTGTTTTTAATACAGCATGACTCAGTAGACCTGAGTAATTACACAGCAATCTTGAACTTTTCCAGCTGACAAAAGGATGCAGTTCATTGAACATATTGATCATAGTAGGGTAAGTTATCATAATGCTAAATGTCAGCTACACTGAATCAGTAAAACAATTATCGAACACCAAACGATTTGTGAAACATTCAAATACGAAAATATAAAATATAAAAATATCATCCAAAAAATAAGAGGTATATCTTAAAGAAATATTAAACTATCGTTTTAGCCAACAAATATATAGCAATTAATAAATTGTATATTTTTTCCATTTGAAACGTGTACCACATCAAAGGCATTTCATTCATAGAATATTAATGTGAGCTGAATCATACACACCAGTAACATTCACTGATGTTGCAATTCTGAGCTGGAGTGAACATTTCCTCTCCTCACACGCCAAAGCGGTAGACAACATCACATTACTGAACACGCCGCTGAGAGAAGGCTGATCTCTGCAGGGAAATTCTGACAGTGGAGCTATGAGTTATAGAATATGTTAGTGCCACAGACAAATAGATAGATATCATACACGATTCATTTTGTTGCATTTTTGTATTGCGATATATTGTGATAGATAGATAGATAGATAGATAGATAGATAGATAGATAGATAGATAGATAGATAGATAGATAGATAGATAGATAGATAGATAGATAGATAGATTGATAGATAGATAGATAGATAGATAGATACTCACAGTAAGCTCTGGGTTTACACTGTAGACCCTGTTTGAAGAGATCGAAATTGTTTGACTTTTAAAAAAATACTAAACTGAGTAACAATAATGTAAACTACTTTCCCATTCATGGGTCCAAAAATGCTTTAACATTTACAGTAACAGGAAATGTGTAAGGATAGTAAAACAAGGGGTTTCCCTCACTCCTGACACCTGAGGAAGTTCCTGGTTAGACAGAGCAAATATCAGGCAGAGAGTCTAGTGTAGTGTATCCTCATATCCAGTTACAGTAATCAAAAGAATACAAAAATATTAACTTGGCCTGTCCAATGACCTGGATCAGTGAGAGTGGGATGTTTTGGTCTCAGTCTTAAGCAAACATTCGCAAAGTGTGCTTCTGTAAGACTGCGACTAATGCTTCTTTAATGTATTACAAACACAAAGCTTTATTAGATGAGATCATATTTTTATGACTCATAATTAAAAGCCACTTAACCTGCCACTACTCTTTTCTGATATAAAACAGCAATAGCTCATATAAATAAGAACTGGCATACTTAAATGAAATATTAATATATGCAATTGATCCTGAAATAGCACTGTCTGTAGTTAAATGTGTTACATGGAAAAGACATAATTCCAGCATATTGATGTTAAACTTTTTAAAAATCAAGTTATTACTGCAGCAATGCTCTACTCAAGTAATTTCAAGGTAATATAAAGTAAAAGAAAATTACTAAATTAATAGTATACAAAACAAACAAATAAACATAACGTAAATTACTCTATTCCATTTATATATATATATATATATATATATATATATATATATATATATATATATATATATATATATATATATATATATAAATGTAACTTACAAACCTCAGAACAACTCCAAGCACAGTCCTGGTTCTTCTCAATTGTGTTCATATGGACCTCGTGGCTCTGGAGGATGAGGAGCAGAAGAGGAAGAAGCTGAAGATATTTCATGTTTGGTCAGTGTTGGCGCGCAGACGCTCCTCTACAAACTTACTTTGTTGCTGTGAATGACTTGTAGCTTTGAATATCAAAAGGCATTGACCTACAGAGGAAAATTGCTCCCGCCCATAAAAACCCAATAACTAAAAAAAAAGTAGTGCAGCTTTAAAAGCTCATCCTATATATCACTGTAACAGCTCTCTCTCTCTCTCTGACACTTTCGGTAAAAAGGTTTCGGTCATAATGCCAATTTAGGACACATCTATAAAAGCAATTATCTATAAAATCGCTCTCTTTAGCATTTAGTATTCATTTCGTTCAGTTACAATTTTAGACAGGCGCTTGTAATACTTGTTTTTTCTTTTTTACTGATATGGACCTATGTGTCGAAAATAAAGTAACGTTCTGTAGAAACTATACAATTGTACAGTTCTCTGGAAACTATATGCGCCGCTAGATGGAGACAAATAGCAACAGCAGACACCCACAAAAATACCAGTCAGTCCAAAATCAGTCCAAATACGCAGCAGGTTTTGATTGCAGCACCATCTGTATAGGTGTGAAACATTTTAGTAATAATAGTAATAATGATTAGCCTGGTTAAAACCAGAGCATTCTCAGTTAACTGAGTTATGGTCTGGCAAAGCGTCATAGTAGACAAATCATTTCCAGAGGGGCGTCACCAACGGACGTCGCGGATAGACCTAAAACCAATCAGAGCGATGAAGGAGATGACGTATGCAGAGCGGCGGGAGACACATCTCCGAGTGTTGTTCTTTGCTCGGTTTTTAACAAGAAGGATAACAATTATTATTTGTATTATTACAATTATTTTATATGCGGGTGCAGGGTGATGATCACATGGACTACATGTTGGTTCCTACTCAAATGATTTCTAGTCGACCATCTTAAAAATAATAAATCATAATGATAATTTCAACATATATATTTGTATTATTATTGACACTTATTAAGATCTTATTATATGTTTATTATTATTATTATTATTATTAATAACACTTACTACGACATTATAATATATGTTTAATATATTATTATTATTGACTTATTTCTTGAATTATTTTATATGATAGATAGTGCAAGGTGATGATCATATGGGTTACTGTTGGTTCCTACTCAAATTATTTGTAGTCGACCATCCTAAAAAATAATAAACCATAATGATAATTTTAATATAATTTTTATTTATTTATTATTAACCTATTATTATTATATTATTATTATCATCATTATTATTATTATTGACACTTATAAAGATCTCATACATGTGTATTATTATTATTATTATTAATAACACTTAGGCCTACTACGATATTATAATATATGTTTAATGTAGGCTATTATTATTTTTTACTGAATTATTTTATTTGATAGATAGTGCAAGTGGATGATCAAACGGGTTACTGTTGGTTAATAAATAATAATAATTATGATCTTTATAATATATTATTATTATTATAATTATTATTAATTCAGGATGGTCGACCAGAAAAAAAAAATACATTCATGCGAGTATGAAAACAAAACCATCAGCCTCCATGCCTACTGATCATCATCATCCCCGTGGCCCCTCTCACATTATTTGTTTGGCGGGCGTTGTTTGCTGGTCTCTCCCCTGTCTTCAGCGCTCCTCTCCTCCCCACCCCCTCTTTGTTGTTTCTCTCGTCCAGCCTCTGCTGTGCGCGCGCGCACACACACACACACACACACACTCCCTGGGATCAGCTGCGCGCTCGCAGTATCCGTGCACGTCCCTTCCCCCCGCGGCCTGGCTGCTGATGAGATGAGTGGAAGATGTCGGTGTCGGGGCTCAAGGCCGAATTAAAGTTCCTGGAGTCAATCTTTGATCCAAACCATGAGCGATTCAGAATAATCGACTGGAAACCCGATGAACTGAGCTGCCAGTTTAATGTGACAGGAGAAAAGCTGCTAATTATTCACTGCAACATCACGGTAAGATTCATCAGCCTTGTGTAGCTTACATGCGAACAAGACAAGGCCGAGTGAAATAACATCACCACAACCCCCCTTTGACTCGATTAAAGCCATCATAATGTGAATAAAAGCATTTAGACCGACCAGAATCGATTACATATCCTCAAACGGATGTCAAAATAGCAGATAAACAAGTACCCACTCCTAGCCCGAGCTACATTTAGCCTGCTAGTTGATTAGCTAACAAAGTTAACTGCGTTGGCTCTCGCTTTAACTGTGTTAGCTAAACAAACTCGCCAGCTAATATTCAGGCTTATTTGATCATATCAAACACAAGTTAGTTAAATAAAACGGATAGTTGTTTTATTCCGCGTCGGTGTGGATTTTGCAATTAAGTTAGTTAGCAGGTAATTCGCTTGTGTGCTAATTTAGCAAAATGATACATTAGCTAGCTAAACGACGTTTTGGACAAAATGTTTTTTTGTCCATGTCGTCTTTCTAGACCGACTCTGAGATGCTATTTTTGAATATACATGTTGTAATAAAACCACATATTTTGTGTAAACGGTCAGTTATAATGTTGGCTATCTAATTTAGCAATTAATTAGCTGTTTTGTCGAAGTTCTTCATTTAGCGAGGCCTGTTAAGAAATGCGTAGATTTAAAATGATCCAACTCTATATCCAGTTAAATCTATCGTAATTTTGTTGCAATATAATTATCGTAATTTCTCATTGCTATCATGATTACTAATGGTGTGTGCTAGCGATATTAGCGCATTTCCAAACTTAATAATTTGAGCGATTCCTGACATTTTCACAGCAATTTAGAGGACACGATGTTGAGTGAATATTAAGTCTACTCGATTATCAAGAGGTGTTGTCATAACGTTCACTATCTATGAAAACGCGCTGCATCGCCACTGCAGTGCAACTGGCTGCCGTTGTGGTGTTATTGAGGTCAGTTAGTTCGCTGAGTTTATATTTTGATGTGTGTGGTGCTGTAAGTTCAGTGTGTGTGGTCCTGACAAGCAGAAGCAAATCACGTCGCCATCCTTTTGACCCTCCAATGTTGGGAGGAGATTTGTAAGTAGTGGATGGGAACATAATGTTCAAGTGATTTTACATGGACCACAGGAACATCAGCTCTGACTCACACTCCACTGCACAGGTCTGCTGTGGTCTCTTTTGGGTGTTCATTTAGACGTGTTTGATTAATTGGTTTGGCAGCTGTTGATGTGGCTTCTTATGCAAGTGGCTGAATGGATCCGATCAGACTTCAGTAACCTTGTGAAAGGACAAAGGGTTTGGATGCAATTAGGAAGATGCTGATGTTGTAACTCTTGATATTTTTGTAGGAGTCTTACCCTTCAACGCCACCAATATGGTTCGTTGATTCCGATGACCCAAGTCTGACCGAAGTCCTTGAACGGCTAGAGGATGTCAGAAGAGGCAATACTTTGGTAAGGAGGTTTTTCCGCTATCTGAGATTTCAATGAGATGTGATCATCAAAATGCAACACAAAATAAGTATTTTACTGTACATTACTGTTCAAAAGTTGGTAGTCAGTAGATTTTTTTTTTTAAAGAAATGATTAAGTAAAAAATGCTTTAAATTGATCAGTAATGTGACAGTAAGACTTCTACATATATCTGAATCCTGAAAGACAAATCTATCACGTTTCCACAAAAATATTAAAGTCCCCATGAAGTATTTTGGCTTTTAGTATATGTTAGCCTTAATGTTATCTGTAAGCTAGTGTTCTCCGAAACAATGACAAAATTTACATTTATAAGATATAAGTAGGGATGGGAATTGAAAACCGGTTCTACTCGAGAACCGGTTCTAAGTTTTACGATCCATCGATATTGTATGCCCTCGACGTTAACGAGTCCTCTTATCGATGCTCCTGCTCAGCCATAGTATGTAGGCTACAGACCGTGAACTCACAACTGTCCCTTTTGTCCTTTTATCAAGCACCATAGCACGGCGTCCAAAGCGAATTTTTGTACCGCCAAAGTCTTATTTGATCGGTGAGTAATGTAGATGAACTGCTGCGCTTGTGACAGGGCGCATGTTTAACTGAACGAGCAGAGAGAGAGAGAGAGCCCCGGTCGCGCGCGCGCACTCTCTCTCTTCGGAGCAAGGCGGCTTCACCGTCTCAAAACTAAGCGCTGTCTTGCTCTCTCCCTCGCACATATTAATCAAAATAAACGACACGATGGTAAGGGGAGACTAAAGTTTCATGTGGAGCATTCGGAGATTTGTTTTTCCTGAATTAGGCTACCGCTGGGTGTGAATTGTGCTAAAATACGTTGCCTTATCTTCTCTGTAAAGCGTTCCGCACATTCAGCTGACATAAACCACACTTTAAATAAAACGAAAAAAACTATCCAGTGATGAAATGTTTTCTCTGATGACACATCTTGTGGGATGTCCCAACCGCCGGCACACGTTCGATAATGACACGTCCAATTCGCTAACTAATGATGACTCATTTGAACCGATTCGTTTTAATGAATGGTTAAAACAACTGATCTTTCCAACACTGAACTCACGGTACGTTTAATCGTTGTAGGCCTATAACTAATCGGTAACACTTTACAATAAGGTTCCATTTATTACATAAATTACATAAAAAGTAATCGATAAGAGAATCGTTAAAGAATCGGATCGATGAGCAGAATCGTTAGTGGCATTGATATTGATAAAATCTTATCAATTCCCATCCCTAGATATAAGCGTTCAAAACCGAGTCTCTCACTTCCGCCAATATGGATTAACAATTTTGATGACATCACTCTGTACTTCAGCTTCTCATCACATTTTCTGTCCAATCAAATGCTCTCTAGAAGCTGAAGAGTCCCGCCCCCTGCACCATAAATAGATGCTGAATCTGTGGCTGAAATTGGCCACTTATTCACACAATTACTATTTTCTATATGGTGAATAGCAGATAATGCGTAATAGATAGGAAATGATTCAGACAGTGCAAATATGCTTTCCATTGGGGGGAATGAAGTCTGGTTTTCCGTTAGTTGGACACGAACCGCCGCAGTGCTAACACAGTCGTCTCTGGTCCAGAGTCATGTTAGCACAGAGCAGACCAGAAAACATATATCAGACCCATTTGAATTCGGCACAGAATGCTATATTTTAAAGCTATATGGTGGAGAAACAGTTAGACTCGGCATTATAAACAGCATTGACGAGTAGAAGAGATAACACCAATGCCATGTACACACTTTTCAATCAACACATCCTCAGCATGATTAAGTTCACGGTTTTGCTTTAGTAATAGTTTCATATTAAATCTAAAAGGGAAATCTATTGTCTTCCTGTTTCAGTGGAAATTACGTCAACGCTGTGCATTTCAAGGTACTTCTGTGGGCTTTAAGTAGCACAGCTGTTTGCAACATTTATAATAAGAAAGGTTTCACCAAATCAGCATATTAGAATGATATCTGAAGGATCATGTGACACTGAAGACTGGAGTAATGATGCTGAAAATTTAGCTTTGAATCACAGGAATAAATCTAATTTTAAATTATAGAAAATAAATACATAGAAAAACGTTGATTTAAATTGTAATAATATTTCACAATATTATTGTTAATCAAATAAATGCAGCATGTGAGACTTCCTTCAAAAAAACATTAAAAAAAAATCTTAAATCTAATAAAATTGATTATTTTCAATTCTATTGAACTATTATTTTCACATATTTGTCCGGATCTATTGATTTATTCCAAAAATACATGAAACATGCAATTCGTACACGCAGTGATCTGAAAACCTCTCTATAAAGAACATGTGTTTAAATTAAAACCCATTTCGATATTTCTGGGGAGTTCAGGAAATGAAAAATGTCATGTTGATGCAACTGATTTGATATCATAGAAACAAAAAAACATTGGTATGAAACATTTTTGAAAATACTAATGATTAAAATGTGTACACAGGTGAAAGAGAAATGAAAGAGCTTTTGTTAAATGGTATAGTAGTTTGTCAAATTCATATGAAACCAACAAGAATAGAGAACATTTTCTAAGAGCTTGGCACATTTATTTTAATGCTGAGGTTGCCAACATTTTTACTGTCCCCTCCACAAAATAATTTATTTCAAATAAACCTTAATAAATAAGGTTATGACACCAAAAACTACAAGTATAACTAATATAAATTAAGTATTATTAAAGACAAGTACTTTGTCCTTTGTTGTTTGATTATCATTAAAGCATCTTTAAGCAAATGCACCAATCCAATATACTGTTACACATGCGTTTTATTTTTCAACTGTTTACGTTCACAAGTCATAACCAACTATGTTTATATGGAATCTCACCAAGACACAATTATGTGTGAATTTGTCCATTCAAGCGCACGAAGATGTGAAAGGGAACTCAATTTATTATTCGCACACTGTCTGCACACTGTCTGCACCACAGCTTCCTGGGTGTATGCGCACACAAAACTTCTCAAACAGTGCGCAAGTACTGAATTGAGTTCTCTTTTGTATCGTCTTCCGCTTCCATATTTCAATTGGCAAGGCTTAAAAACATGTGCAAATAATTAATTGAGAAACTTTTGGGTAACATTTTACAATCAGGTTCATTAGTTAATCTTAGTTAACATGAACTGAGAATGAACAATACTACTTCAGCATTTATTAAGCTTAGTTAATTAATATTCATTTCAACATTTACTAATGTTATTAAAATCAAAGGTTGTATTTGTTAACATTAATGTACTGTGAACTAACATGAACAAACAATGAACAGCTGTATTTTTATTCATTAATATTAACAAAGATTAATAAATACTGTAACAAATGTATTGCTCATTGTTAGTACATGTTAGTTAATACAGTAACTAATGTTAACTAATCAACCTTATTGTAAAGTGTTACCTAGGGCTGTGCCGGTAAACTTGACAACCGCACCACCGTGGTTGTAAAGCGCCACCGCAGTGGCTGAGTAGCACCAGCGGTGGTCCTCCAAAACAATTTATTTGGTATGTGAATGCTGTTTTACATGAAAATTATGACAGGAGTACAATACAGAGAATACAGGCTTTGTATTCTGTTTTGCGATCTGGTCTTCCAATTATCAGCTAATTTAACAATAGTCCATTAGTTATTCCATTGGACATGGAATCTCTTGTTTCTTTTGCCAAATCTTCACACACGTCTCACCCATTTTCGCATTAAACGTGTCTTCCTTTGGTTTGCTTTAAAGTAGGCATATTATATTTGCATTCTTTATTAAATAAAGTAGAAAAACATTGTAGGAAAGATAGCCTACCTTTTTACTTGCACGTCATATTCAACACAGTTTGTGCTTGTTATTAGACTTGGTAAGGCGCATCAAGATTGTTTGTAAAGTGCGTTTCACACGTGCGGGTGATTTTAGTTTTGCTTTCTCTGGCAGCTCAAAATCAAACAGCTTAAATTTCTTGCCCTTGTGGAAGATAAGACAAGTAGAAAACATGAATATATATATATATATATATATATATATAAAGAGAGATGGTCTTTCTGCTTGTGTCCTACATCCCTGATCCCTCTCAAAGTGGAGAGCGGTAGGCTTAGGCTATATCACGCGTCTTTGTGTGGAAATATTAAACGAATGTGTTAATTATTTAGCTATTATATTATTTAAGTTAATATTATTTACTGATATTTATTTCAATGCTTTACAGGCTTTAGTGTGATGTTTCATTGACGGAAGTGCTCAAATAAACACGCATGTCTGTTACGAAATGGATGTTTGAGTCTTGTTTATTATTATTATTTTATTTCAATATGTATTTAATTGATGTGTGTGTGTATATATATATATATATATATATATATATATATAACACCCCCCAACCACCGCGCCACTGCCGGTGCTTAGTTCATTACCACGACGGTGGTAAAAAACTGCCACCGTCACAGCCCTAGTGTTACCAACTTTTGTAACAATGCAGCGATGCTTGATGCAGTTCCGTCAACTGTCCCGAGCGTTGATCACGCTGGTGCAGTCCTTATTGTCAAGCCCTGCTTTATAATGCATTGACCCAAATATGATTGTGCCATAATCGTGCAGCCCTAATCCATAATGAACCTAAATCCACATATTGGTCGGTCAGGATGAGACTGGTTTCTTTATCTGAAACACACTTTATCTAGCTTTTTTTTCTTTCTATGTGACCCAATGCTTTATAGTAGATCAGCTGTTTTATATTAGTTAGTTTTTCTCTAATGAAGTTCCTCACCAGTTGTTACCACTTTTTCTTATGCAGCTCCTACAGCAGCTGAAAAGGCTGATCTGTGATTTATGCCGACTCTATAACCTGCCCCAGCATCCTGATGTGGAGATGCTGGATCAGCCTCTTCCTGCTGGACCCATCAGTCAAGACAAGAAGGTAGCCCAAATCAGACCTACATAGCCTTCTTACCCCTTCCTTTTCCCCTGTTTTTAATAGAGTTGTTCCGATTCCGATACTAGTATCGGAAATGCCGCCGATACCAATAAAAATTCTGGTATCGGCGAGTACTTCTATCCGCGTACCGATCCGATACCATTTTCTTAAACAATAACTAGTTATGCAAGCTAGCTTTGCGTAACGCTGCAAATCGGAGCTCAATTCTTCTTCGCTGCTCTAAACAGTGGTTGCTTGTGGCAACACAGGAAGTCGTGCTGTTGCCACACAAGCAACCACTGTTTAGAGCAGCGAAGAAGAAAGCGCGCGATAGCAGTATGTCCGCTGTTTAGCAGTATTTCAGACTGGACAACCAGGTAGTAAAACGCCGACATGTCTCATATGCCATACTGCAATTTCGAGGGGTGGAACAAGTATTAGCAACTTCAAGTAACACAGAGTAACCCCGCAAAACACGATTACACAGGCAAGGGCAGAGAAGGATGAGCCGCGCCAGAATCAACTATCTCTGAAAGCTTCATTCAAACGATCATAAATATAACCGATACAACATGTAAGTTATTAAGTTTATTATTCTGGATGACCAGCCGATGTCAAAACTGAAATGCCGTTTATTTAACAAAACTGTTTATGGACCTTAAATTATAAAGAGATAATTTTCTTATATTATTCATATATCATTTTTTTAGATTCCTAGATTTATTTGTTGCACTTTTTTTTATACAGTTATATATTGTAAATCTAAAATACCTTTTTTCAGTTTACAGTATTAGATGTGTGGCTGCATTTTAAGTTCTTTTTCATTTAAGAAAGATAAATAATATATTGCTGTGAAATGTATGTCAGATAATAAAAATACTCTAGTTCACTCTATGTATTTGTTCATGTTTAATTAAGGGATAAGTCTGAAGCACACCATAAAATAATTCTATCAATTCATACAATACTGTACAGACCCAGGTATCGGATCGGTATTGGGTATAGGCTGATACCCTGTGTCCAGGTATCGGAATCGGTATCGGGAAGGGAAAAAGGGTATCGGAACATCTCTAGTTTTTAAGGTGTGTTTGAGCTGATGTAAACTTTGTTTCATGTTCTTGTTGTTCCCAGCATGGAACAACTGATGAAGTGACATCAGAAGAGGAGGAGGAAGAGGAAATGGCAGAGGTATTAAGCTTTGGGGGATGCAAAGGCTTCTTTATGATTACAGTTACGACGAAAAGACTAGATGACACCTAACACGTTCTTTTGTTTGTTGCTGTGGCAGCAGGATATTGAAGATCTAGACCACTATGACATGAAAGAGGAACCGGTCGATGGGAAAAAGTCGGAGGACGATGGCATCGAGAAGGAGAATCTGGCAATTCTGGAGAAAATCCGAAAGAACCAGAGGCAGGACCACTTGAACGTAAGTGTCCATTCGGTAAGGTACCCTTTTTATTTAACTTTGGGGTTGGGTGGAGCACTTAAAAAAGCAGCTTTTTTGATTGATGCAAAATAGCACTGATAACCAGGGTTTTTTCTACTGGCCTAGTCGGGGCAGTGGTTGACATTTTTACTTGCCCTGCCAAAATTTTCACTGGCACCCACAACAAAAGTAATAAATAAATAAAATAAAAAAGGGCTAGTTATTGTTTTAGTTGTTTTTGATCCATGTAACCTTAATAGATAAGGTTATGACACTAAAAACTACTAGCCTAACTCATATAAATTTGAAATATTGTTAAAGACAGTCAGTTATAAAATAAGAACAAATCAAATTATGAGCAATAGCACAAATAAATACAACAGAACAAACGTATACAAATGAAATAAACAGTGCTTTTCAGGTTTTTCATGTAGATCGAAATTAGATTTTCAGGTACAGAAATAGTAATACATCTCACTGTATAAATATAGATGAACCCTTATTACAGTAATTCAGTCTGTCTTTCAATTTTCTGTCTTTTGTTTGATTAACATATAATAACAGACAGCAGCAGTAATATTAGGCACCTGTCACTGTAAGAGCTGCACGGATCCAATATTTACACATGCATCTTCTCATGTTTATGCTCACTTAAGACTAGGGTTGGGAATCGTGATAATTTTTTCGGTTCCGGTTCCGATTCCGCCAAACGATTCCGGTTCCGGTTCCCATTCAATAAAAATTATTAAAACAACTAATACAAATAGTAGTACGGGGAAAATACACAATCCTTTTTGTGTTTTATATCTAATACTTGTCAAATGAGTTTAACAGACTGGCAATGTCAACAAATGCAACATATTATTTAGCAATAATTTTTTCTGAAGGAAAATAAAAAATGTTGCATTGTCAAGGATAATTTGGGACCTCTCCTATATCTTATTGTATCTCCAGCAGTGGAATACCCTCTCAGAAGGGGTAGAATATGCTTGAACACACATGTAAGATCCAGACAGGTGAAACATAATATTTTTAAAATCGGTTTGAATGATTGATTCATAAAAACTTAACTTGTTTCCTTACTGGATTAAAGTGCTCTAGCAGTTAATAAACAGAAATGCATGCGTCTTGCGGAAGAACATTGTAGCCGGAGCTACTTCTCTATGTTTATGTCTATGACGCGGGTGAGTCACGCAGGCACTGGGCTACTCTGCAGCAGTGCCGAACCGACCAGTGTAAAGTAGTCCGAGTCTTACGACTTACCGTAGTGATTCAGGATAAGACAAAAACACGTTTTGAAAAAAGGCATTCATGATGTAATCGCTCATTATGTACATTTTGTAAATTCTGAAGCGAATTTTCGTTATTTGAAGCGACTTTCAAAAGGTGATTAACTGTTTTGGTTGCTACAGTAGACATCAGTGTTTATCCTCGAACTATAAACTTTTATCTCAGTACTTCTGTGATCATTTGAATATTTTTAACACAGAAATATCGATACTGTGTTGTTGAAAAGACTGAAAGTAAAGCTAGCTGTTTCATGTAGAACTGCTCTCTCTGGGTCAGCGACAGCGCAAACTGATTTGAATGTCCCGGTGTGAAGTTTTTGTCATTTAGGAATAAGATCGCGTGGGTGTTTGAATCGAGATCGTTTAAAGATTAATGGCACAGCTCTACTGTCTTTATTCTCTCTCTCTGCGTTGATATCTGACGCAAAAAAAAAAAAAGTAACTTGTTATACGAAAAGCGCGAGGGACAGTGCATTCATTACAATTTTAATATTCATGTGGTGAGACGTCGCTATTAAAGGATAAGCTCCCAGCACTTCGTCCACACATCGCATCAGAACCGTTTTCGGAACCGAAACTCAGGAATTTCGCACGGTTCCGGTATTTTTTAAAAAACACTACCGGTTCTGCATAAGAACCGGTTCTTGGTTCCCAACCCTACTTAAGACACAACCGACTATGTTTACGATGATTCTCGACAAGGTTGGCATTTTGACATCATTTTGTGTGAATTAGGGCTGGGTGATATGGCCAAAAAATTTCTGTATTTTTTGGGTGAATGGCGATATACGGTATATATCTCTGTATTTTCTATGTTTTTGTACTTGGATGATAAAATCTGTATTTATTTAAAAAAAAAAAATTTTTATTGCATATCCTGCCCAATATTGTCCTACAAACAGTGTTCATATTGAAGGCTATGAAAACAACTAGCCTATAGCATAGTCTAATGTTATATATATATTATGTGCAAAAATGGGTTAAAATCACATTAAATTCTAACATTGTAACATTACAATCTAAAAACAAAAATAATGATTTTAAAGTCACTAAACTAAAAAATAAATAAAAACAAGAGCACAGATTGATTAACCTACATTTGATAACCACATTACAATAGTCACTATACAGTTACTGCTATCATATAAATACACTCACTTGTAGGTTGAAAATTCTACATGTGGCAAATTTATTATCCAACAATTATTTTAGCAATATGAATGCTCACTGTCTGATTTTCGCGCATGCGCGCGGCGGCGCTCGCTCACGGGAATCTGTGAAGTTTAGCGGAGATTCACTCCTGACAGCAAAGTGGAAATATTTGCATGAGTTTCTAACATTTACAGATGAGGAATATACCTGTGAAATGTAAGTTATGCACTGAGGAAAGCACTACATCTCAAACACATTAAACAGCACAAGTATCGATCGGTCAGCACGTCTGCCAGAGCAAGCCGCTTTAAACTATACGTGTTATCTTACCAGTTATTTTAAAGCCCTTAACATAAAGCTCGTCTCATGTGTAGGACAAATTGAATAATGCACGTTCCTGTCCACCGCTATTTTTCAGATGCGCTCGTATCAAACTACTGTATATCGATATAAACAGTATTGTCTCATTCGCAAGTGACCGTTCCGTCAATTCAGAAAGACACTTTGAGCCAGAGCCCTGCTACTCTATCCTCCTTGTGTTGTGTAATATAATGCAATAAAGCAAATGATTTGGTTTATTTACAAGTTGGGTCAGCTTTTTCAATGAACAAATTCTGTCATTTATCCACTGAAGAATAATTTGAAAGATTGCGCCTTGTAGTGCTGTATATGTTCCCTAAATGCTGTTTTTCCTAAACCCTCTTAGGGTGCAGTGTCCGGTTCAGTTCAGGCCTCTGACCGCCTCATGAAGGAACTCAGGGAGATCTATAGATCACAGAGTTATAAGACAGGTAATTTCAGTTTTGATCTTTCCATGTGTCTGTTCCAAACCTTCATACTGCCTGAGTAGGCTGTTGCCTTCTAAGTGAACAACTTACCTGTAATTTAGAACAGTTCCCTTGCCCATTTTCTTTTTTTTTAGTTTTTTTTGCTTTGTCTGCCATCACAACACATTTCTGAGATTGCCTTCTCCACAAAGTATGTGATCTGATCTTGGAATCTGGCCACATTTTAAGTAGCTTCACTTTCGGAGCTGCCACTTTTACGTCAGGAGTGCACCTTAAAATGGTTTTGAAAATGATTTTTATCTTGTTCTAGTGAAAGGACTGTTACAGATCTGTATGATCTGTTCGTTTACTCTTCCATTGTGTCGTTTCCAGGTATCTATTCAGTGGAGTTAGTCAATGATAGCCTGTATGAGTGGCATGTCAAGTTAAGGACGTAAGTATGGTTGCACAACATATGAAATAACATATAGGCTGATGATGGTTTAACTGAAAATCATTCTTCCGTGTTTAAGTGTTGACCCGGACAGTCCGTTACACAGCGACTTGCAGGTTTTGAAGGAAAAAGAAGGCATGGACTACATTCTGCTCAATTTCTCTTATAAAGTTAGTGTTGTTTTGTTTCGTTTTTGTACCAAAAAAATACAGATTGAAGATAATTTGATTGAAAGGCAAGATTACGCAACTGAAGTTTTGTTTTCTTTCTTTCTGATGGCAGGATAACTTTCCTTTTGATCCTCCCTTTGTACGGGTTGTGTCTCCTGTCCTGTCTGGAGGGTGAGCACCTGTCTATTGCCAGTATTAATATTTACATTTAAAGACTTGCACTTATGTTTGTATAGATTTCTATAGAACACTTATGCATGTTAGAATGCACAGTCATACAGTTTTCAATTATTAATTCATGTTGTTTTACATTAAGCTTTTAATTTCTTGAAAATGTATTTCTTAAAAATATAAAATATGAGTTATACAAATAATGTTAATTTTCAGAATCACAGTTTGGTAGAAATAAATAGTAATTTGATTTGTCCTTTTTTCTCATCCAGCTATGTTCTTGGAGGAGGAGCCTTGTGTATGGAGCTACTCACAAAACAGGTTTGAATTCACTTTAAGGTTTAACTATTGAAATAAATCTGAAATAAAATCAATCTAATCTGTGGCGTTGATCATAGGGCTGGAGCAGTGCCTACTCAATAGAGTCAGTCATCATGCAAATCAATGCCACCTTAGTCAAAGGGAAAGCCAGAGTGCAATTTGGAGCAAATAAGGTTTGTCTGGCCGCCTCATGATCAGAGACCAAAAATATTTGCTTGCAGAAATACGGACCCTTTCCCTTTTGTTTTTGTGCAGAATCAATACAATCTTGCCAGAGCACAACAGTCATACAAATCATTGGTTCAGATTCATGAAAAGAATGGTAGGTGGAGAAACTACAAAATGAGGTACAGAATTAATGCGCTTTGAACTGCTCTCAGATGTGTTTTCTGATGTTTTTCCTCTAGGCTGGTACACACCTCCTAAAGAAGATGGCTAGTAGAAGAATCGCTCCACTTGCACACTGCAAACATGGGATGTCTGGTCAAACCTTTGCTTTATTTTACTAATGTTTTTCACCTCTTCAGCTTGAGACGTGTAAGTTGAAACCATCAAGGGGACACGTTCTCTCGCTGTCTGGAATGCTCGGAAATTTGCATCGTCCTTTATCTCCTGCAAGGCTGGACTCTTTGACCATATCCCGTGACATCTGGATTTATGTCTGTTTCTCATGCGTCTCTCTCTCTCTCTCATATTCATATTCATTCTTTCTTTCTATACTGATGGGACTTTAAGAGCCTTGGTACTAATAAGGCATCTAACATGGCGTCAAAATGGTCTGATCAGAGAAAGATGTGTTTTTCTTTTCTTTCTCTACTTTTTGTTGCTTCCTCCTCACTTTTACTGGAGCATGGCTCTGTTCAGGATTATTACATAGATGGAGATGCCCAATGAAGATGCTGGATCTGATCCTCTCTGTCTGCTTTTAAAGGACGTTCTTATGGCCATGGACTTTAAATGATGGTTTACTGAACTTAAAACAGGATATGGATGCAACTAGAGACAATGTGAAGACAATGTGCCACTGCTCTTGTATCTATAGAGACCCCCACCCCATGCATTTTGAGTTAACATGTACTGGTACATTAAATGCTGATGTTGTTGAAGAATCATTATTTGCCACAATTATATGCGCAAGCTTCTTAAGCAACCCCTGATATTAATGATAACGTCGAGGACGAGAAGAAAGGGCGTTTATACGACTCTAGCTCCAGATCTCGTTCGGATGAACTCCACTCAGTTTCCTTGCGCTCGCTTTTAGCATGTGGCTGATCTGAACAATAATGGACAAATGCAAGCTTTGGCTTTGAAAAGGCGAAGTGGATCTTGCCGTGGCTCCATAGTTGAACAGAGCTCCACTTGTATACTTGTAAATGGATTTGAGGCGTCTTAAATGTGGTGTTTATGTGAAGTGGGGGAATTATCAGAGTTGTTTTCACCTGAGGACTTTTTTGGACTCGAAATGGGGGGAAAAGGTTGATGTTTCTCAAAATAACTGGGGTAATATCTTAAAAATTGTATTTATATAAGTGATATGAACATAACTCTTTTTTTTTTTTTTGTTCCCACCCTTAATTGTTATTTCCTGTTTTGAAAGATGTTCATAATTTCTGCTCCATTAAAACAGCTGTTACAGATTGAGACATTTGAGGTTTACATTACTAATGGACCTCTCATGATCAGCAGTACTTAAACCGAGAGTTTTTCAATACTGTCAGTTTTATTTTGTGAGCATCGATGGATTCAAGAGCGCAAATAATACTCTTCTCATAGCACAACACTAAAAGAGCACTGTTTCTTTCCATGCCCGATGGACAAATCATACAAAACTCAAGGCATTGTTTATTTTACCTCTCGGATTTCAACGTCCAGTATAAAGTCTTAACGTTACCGGCGAAAGAGAACTGGTCAAAATACACCATACCTCCCTATTTTTTTTGTCTTTGTTTTGGACTGTATTATAAAACTGGCTGTCGAAGGCTCGCGCATGTGAAGGCGTCTTGCAGTTTCCATTTAAAAACTCAGGAAAATCCATTTTGTTAGAAAATGCTTTTTCGGTCCGTTTGCTCTACCTATCCACTTCAAGGACTTTCTTTAGTTCCCGAAAGCAAAGAAGGATTGTTTTAACAGCTTCCTGTGGCCTCTATTTAGTGTTTTATGATGGGGCTTGGTTCCATCGTAAGAAGTGTTAAAGGCCATATGTGATTGGACGACTCTGGCTATAAAAATGCATCAGATTTCCATTGTGTTTACTGAATTTGAGTGCTCAATCAAATGTAACTTATGTTTTTGTTGTTTCTCACCCCTCTGACTTCAACTTTTTCCAGTTGTAAATATTTTGGGGCATTTGGGTTTAGTATTTGCACAGAATGTTGTGATTGTGCCTCTTGGATCAGTCCTGAGTTTGAACTTCCATAACAGGCAGGCTCTTGGATACGTATTCCGTATTATCTTTAACATGGATGCAAATGTAATCTTTTACTCCAATCACATGTAAATGTAATTCAAGAGAGCCATTACAGCAGGAATGTCTTGAGTAACTCAAGGGTCTGCTTTGCGAGTAATTGCTGCTGTCTTGTTTCAGAGATGAGCTCGGTCTTGGGTTTTCATCGGTGAGATTTGAAAAGGCAGACCTTTCCGACTGATGTTCCTTTTAGGGGGTTATTCATCTCAGAAGTACATCTGCGTTCTCTGAGTTGTTGACTTGGGCTTGTCTGCGTTGACCAAGATTTCTGTGACTGATTAGTCTTTCTTCTTTCCTTGTCCGAACAGTAATGACTTGTTTGTTTTTTGTTTTCACACCGAACGTGAACCTCACATTAACTAATAACAAAGCTCGTCTCTGGTGCCATTTCACGGAATGGTTCTTAAAGCTCACACTGTTGGCATGCTTTCTGGGGTGTTTTTTTTTTTTTTCGTTTTTTTTTTTTTTTTTCATTATAAGAGAATTTTGACCATGTACAGTATATTTGTAAACTTGCATCAAGTTTATGAATAAAGAATTTTACGAGGAGCCTTGTTGGGGAATCTGTGAGTGATCTGGTTGATGCATTTCGAGAACTTCAATTTTCATTAAAGGCACAATATGTAAAATTCAAAAATGTTTTCAATTTTGTTGACGTGTACTTGCATTATCCCAAATGTTTCCAAAAATGTTTAAATCCAGAGAAATTAGCAATTTTAAACAGTGTAATGTCCCGTGTCATTGCGTCATCTGTTAATGACATCATATTCGCGTTACCCTTTCGATTTCCATGAGAAACATCAAAATCGCTGTATAATGTTTTATTAGACAGGTGAGCAACTGTTTGGACACATTTATCAACCCAGAGAACTAATCTTGTTTTATAGCTCAACACCGTCTTATTTGAATCTCGTTTTCTTGATTTACCGCGAGTAACACGTTTGTACCCAAAATGTTGATCAGACAACACTATTTTGTCAAGTGCCTAACATGCACTGTAAAAAAGGATTGCTGTGATTATTTATCACAACTTAAAGTATGTTCATGCTTGACTTAAAATATTAAGTTTAGTTAAGTAGGATATTTAAGTTCTCAACTAAATTTAAGTGGCATAATCTAAGAAGAGCTTTATTTGTAGGAACAGTAATACAGCATTTTCTCCACAACACAATGTTTTAACATTAATTAAATGCCATTAAGCAACACAAGCTTTTAGTAATATGAAATTCTAATATCGATCTTGCATACTGCAGTGTGCAACAAGTGTCTCGTACTAGAGCGAACGCACATGTAATGTTATAACTTTCAATACAAACCAATGTATTTTAGTATGATTGTTTTTACCAAGTAAAACAGCGCTGTTACCCCATAATTTTAATTAGTCAAATAAAGTGACCTCTATGAGTAGTAATCCAGCACTTCAAGTAGTAATTCACAGTAATTCGGCTGTTCCATTAGAATGAGATAAAATCAAACGTAACTGTAACAAATTTTGTTAAATGAAACTTTAATCGCAAAACATGCATAAACACCAAAACTAAAGGAGTGGCGGCGGCCGACTGTGGCATATAAGCGTAATAAAAACAGCTACGTGAAATGTCCCTGAACTTTAAAAAGCCTTTATGATTGTAGAACTTGTAATTACAACATGTAAACTCTGAGAGCTACGACTTGTACCACCTGACCACATCAGATTTAAGGTGTGTTCAACCGATCAATATATGACATCAAAGTACATCGAGAGCCACTCAAAAGCACACGGAGCTTTATTTACGGAATTTACGACATGGTGTGAATGCCGAATTTGAATTAGAGACCTCTAGTGGAGAAACTTGCATACTGTGCCTTTAAGAAAACATCAGGGACGCCAGAATATAAATACTAACACTCTCTGCCTGAGTTAAAAGTGTGATGGTTTCAACTCAAATTAATTATTTGAAGTGTAAAAATGTTTTATTTTCTGTTGCCAATTTTTAAGATGCTGTTGAATGTACACTTAACTACAGTAGTCAACATTTGAAGTGGATCAAAACCTTTCATCAAGTTATACATTTTGAACAATACCCGTTCTTGTCTATCTGTCTTAGGACAACTTTGATGAACTTTTTGGATGTATTTTTAACTCTGTAGGTTGCTGGTTAAACGTTAACATGAATGACTTTGTAGTTTACCACAAAAGATTTCATCACAGCTGTGGGGTCAGGGGCTGTTGCAACATGTTATGAAATGATCAGTCTTTTAAAAATATTTCATGAACATTGTCAACAGTGTCTGGCTTAAGAGTTTCTTGACTTGTCAGCTGATGGGTATATTTTGGTTATAAGGATTTAATACATTTGACAGTTACTGCAAGTCAGACATTTGCTTTGGATTTAAACACATTATCAGCTACAAAAATGAATTCATTTATGAAAATTCAGTGATTCTAAAAGTTATACAGCTGTGATTTTTGACGCATGCACATATTTGAGAATTGCCTATGACCACTGAAATTTGAACGCTCTTGATGACTTTAAATCTTATCCAGTCTTTCAATGTAAATCTATAAATCCTACTATTGCTTGGCATGTTTTTTAGATCACAAGAATGCCAGGTATTTTGTAGTAATCTGTGAGCTATGAAATTGCAATTGCAAGTTTAAACTGTGACTAAAAACTAGGGAAGTTGTAAGCGCCTTGTTAAAATGGAAGATTATATGAATTGAATAATAATTCTACCTTGCCACATGGGGTAGCTGTTTCCATTTTTGCACACTTATGGTTTCTCCTCTACAATTAACAATGAGACCAAAACGTTTGCTTTCTCTAGGCCTATTATAACTTAAGCTGAATTGATAATGACGTTTGTATTGTATTTGTATTGCAATTCACTATTTATGTTTGCTTGGGTGAGGTCACTGGAGTTGTAACTATTGCTTAAACCGAAGTCATTGGCAATGAACTTTAGAACACTGGTACTCATACATCAATAAAAAAAGTCAATGAATATATCCATTTATTGTATAACTCGCCATTTAGAAAATGTTGTAGCTTAGAAGGAAAAATAAAATGGGTTGTTGTCCTGAAATTATCCAATTATAAATTGTATTATATAATATACATGTATGATATTTGGTGGATTTTGACCAGCTGAAAACTTTAGATGGCAGAGGCGTCAAAGCAATTTGAAAACATATTAGAGAAAAGCTTTCAGATCAGGTTTGTAATGTTGCTTTCACTGGTTGGGTTTTGTTGGAATTAAGGGAAATCACTTAAATTTACTTTAATCCACAATACAATGAATCATTTTTAAAAATATATATTTTTAATGTATTTCCCCCCCAAAAAACACCTTGAGCTTAGGTCTTGTAGACACTATACTTTAAAGACCCTCTGTGGTGAAAATTACGTTTTTAACGTTGTTTATGTCTATGTGGTGTTTTGAATATGCTTTAAGACAAAACATGTACAAATGCATAAGTCAACACCATTGCTAAGTATTTTCTCTTTAAAACTGCAGTGATCTGAACACTCAAAAACGCAGTTTGAAATCGCTGGCAACACATTAACATTCTGGTACATCGACTTGTAGACGAGCTTGACTGAGTGGAGGCAGGGCTCATTTGCATATTACTAAATGAAGCAAGTGTGTAGAGTTACATTCAAGCTATTTAAAGGCATTCATAAACGCCAGCAGCCATATCACCCTGTAGCCCAAGACTGGTTGCCCACTGAAGCTAAGCAGGGCTGAGCCTGGTTAGTACCTGGATGGGAGACCTTCTGAGAAAACCAGGTTGCTCCTGGAAGAGGTGTTAGTGAGGCCAGCAGGGGTGCTCACCCTGTGGTCTGTGTGGGTCCTAACGCCCCAGTATAGTGACGGGGACACTATACAATCAAAGAGCACCGTCCTTCGGATGAGACGTTAAACCGAGGTCCTGACTCTGGTCATTAAAAATCCCAGGATGTCTTTCGAAAGAGTAGGGGTGTAACCCCGGCATCCTGGCCAAATTTGCCCAGTGGCCTCTGTCCATCATGGCCTCCTAATCATCCCCATATATATATACACTGATTGGCTTCATCACTCTGTCTCCTCTCCACCAGTAAGCTGGTGTGTGGTGAGGGTTATGGCGCAATATGGCTGCCGTCGCATCATCCAAGTGGATGCTGCACATTGGTGGTGGTTGAGGAGATTCCCCCTTCCATGTGAAGCGCTTTGAGTGCCTAGAAAAGCGCTATATAAATGTAATGAATTATTATTATTAATTATTATTATAAAAAAACAGGAAGAAACGTTTAAATATGCCATTTTGGTGATCAAAGATGAGTTTTAAAGGGTTAGTTCACCCAAAAATGAAAATTCTGTCAGTAATTACTCACCCTCATGTATGTTGTTCCAACCCCGTAAGACTTTCGTTCATCTTCGGAACACAAATTAAGATATTTTTTTATTAAATCTGAGAGCTGGATCACTCCTAGGCTTCTTAAGGGATCGAAACTGGTCGGCCCAAAAGTTATGAAAGACATCGTAAAAATAGTCCGAGTGACTACAGTGGCTCAACCTTAAGTTTATCAAGCGACGAGAATACTTTTTGTGCGCAAAAAAACAAACAAAAATAACGACTTTATTCAACTATTCATTTCCTTCTCTGTGGGCCGTGATATTTCACGTAGTGAAACTGCGCAACGCTTCTAGGTTGTACGTCACGCATCACACACATGACCAGCGTCGGCCAATAGTGCGCCTGCGTGTGACGTACAACCTAGAAGCTTTGCGCAGTTTCACTACATGAAATATCACGGCCCACAGAGAAGGAAATGAATAGTTGAATAAAGTCGTTATTTTTGTTTGTTTTTTTGCGCACAAAAAGTATTCTCGTCGCCTGATAAACTTAAGGTTGAGCCACTGTAGTCAGTCGGACTATTTTAACGATGTCTTTCATAACTTTTGGGCCGGTCAGTTTCGATCCCTTAAGAAGCCTATGAAGGAGTGATCCAGCTCTCAGATTTAATAAAAAATATCTTAATTTGTGTTCCGAAGATGAACGAAAGTCTTACGGGGTTGGAACAACATGAGGGTGAGTAATTACTGACAGAATTTTGGGGTGAACTAACCCTAAGGGATACAAGTATTGACTACACGGGGACTTCAACTCTTCAACCTCCACATCATCTAGTCACTTGTGCACATCATAAAAGGAATTTCTCATTCTTGTTGCTCAAAATGTATTATACTGGTTCTCTGTTAAAGTGTTAACCCCTCAAAACATCAAGGCATTAGCTCACTAGTTGTCATAATGCGTCAAACATAATTTCTATGAGACTTTTTGTGTAAATGTGTCCCGCAGGTGAATCTTGAATTTCACTAATGAAGGGGAATGTAAAGCATTAGATCAATCAATGATCAACCAGTTCTCTAAAATAGCTCAGAGATGCAAGTCATGAATCGTCAATTGGAAAGCACAGACAGAGCTCGACACAGAGTTACAATAATGGAAGAACAACAAGGAAACAAACAGGATCAACATCATGGGAAGAAGAAGGGGAGTATGGATGTGTGGTGGACGGGCAGGCAAAGCAGACGAAGAGGTCGATAAGTACATATACACGTTTCTGATGAAATAAGGAACACTATTGTGGAGCATTTCCTCAATTATGACCTTAAATGGCTGAGGCGGGTCGAAAGGTGAGGCTTGATGTTGGGAGAACAACCGTTTTCTCAATCATTTGAGCATTTAGACAGAACAAGTATTTCAACAGTGTATACTTACTGTAATGTTTCATATCACAATATTACAGTATAGTAAAAACACTTCATACAGATACCACACAAAAACACACACATATACGGGTGCACATAACTGGTAAAAAAAAGAAACGATGCGCATCAGAAAACGTGGAGGGAAGCGCTTTTGAGTACCAACGTTTTTGGGGACAGGGACACGTTTACTTACTGGCGTAGGCTTTTTCTCCATCTCTGGTAGGATAGCAATCATGATGATAAGTGTGTTTATGAACTATTAGGGACGTAATGGATCGCAGTTGATCCGTACGGGCCAGTACGGGGCACGCATGTGATTCGCGGATTAACTGCTCAGTTTAACCATCATAGAGTGAAAGTTTATCATTTTGATGTGTTTTGTCTTGCCAATTTACACATTCAAATGATTTTAAACGCGGAAAAAGAGTCGAAAATCAGGACTCGTGCACGAGAGAGAGAGGCGCAAAAAAGACAGAGCTTGAACACCGAATTCATTCGTCTTTTGCGTTTACTTGCGCTTGAACGGACACATACATACAAAATTATGTCAAAATACTGTCTCGGCAAGTATTCTCTCTGTTATCTCATAAGTGAAGAGTTGAGAAAGAAACCGGATGTGTGTCAGTATATTCGGTCCATGCATGATGCGGTCTTAAAGTGACAGCAGCCTAATATTCCTGCTGTTGTCTGTGGCATTAATGTTGTAAGGTTGTATTTCCTGCAGGGGTTCAGGCTGCAAGACTGCCGAATGACTAAAGAAACGTTGTCAGCACGTTGTCTCTCAGGTAAAATGTTACGAGAGAGAGAGAGAGAGAGAGTGAGAGCGAGAGAGAGAGAGAGAGAGAGAGAGAGAGAGAGAGAGAGAGAGAGAGAGAGAGAGAGAGAAAAGAGGACACAAAGAGAAAGAAAAGAGGACACAAAGAGAAAGAGAGCCCCAAGAAAGGGACTCCAAGATTTAGAAAGAGCAAGAGCATAAAAAAGAGGCAGAGCAACAGTTACAATCTTCTTTTATCCCTTCTGTGACCGTGTGACTAAAACCCACATGTGAGACGTTCAAACTGACAAATCAGATAATTAAAACTTCCCCCATCGTACTAAAGGTGTGACAGTTCATACACCCCCATCTTGGCCTACAGGCACTTTTAGGAACTCCAAATGGTCCTTGTGGTAGAAAGAGGGAGTGGAAAACAGTAAAAGCAAATGTATTTGTCCATGTCAGTAAAAGCAAATTACTTTGTTCATTTTCATATTTTCAATCCTACAATGTTAATAAAATAAAAAATCATCATCATCTACCATGTAGGAGAGAAAAGAAGATATCGAGGAGAGCAGTCAGGAGGAAAGTGATGACGACAGCTTGTAGGATAAGTGTGCCGTGTAAAGTGTGAGTATCAGGCAGTGTCTCCAGGTGCTCCCTTGAGAACCAGACCAAAAAAGTTATGTGCACCCCTATATATACAATGTATGTGTATATATTCTTGTCTTTTTCTTTTATATATATCACAGTGAGTGACATTGTACTGTAATTTGTTGACAGAAAATATAACTTCACTGCCATAAATCTTGTGAAATTCAGTGTTTTATTGGGTCTAAGGGACTAAAGGACTCAGTGTCCGTTTTTCCCACCTTGTGATCTGCGGACACTGCTGAAGTTTCCAAAAAGTCTCTGTACTTTATACTTTGTGCTGATTCTCAGATTATCTTTTATTCTTTCTGCCTTTTACACAACTGACACGAACAATACCACCCGTTTAGTTCAGTTCAGTTCAGTTGTCCCCTGGAATGTTCTGGAATGGTGGGAGTGTAGCCTGATCTTCAGTCTTTACAAGCCAGACATTTAATCTGAAGTATCATGTGAACTTCTAGTGTGTGTAGTGTAAAATCAAAGAATTTTCTTTTTTTGTATCCGATAGCATTTCATTTCGGCTGGTTGTAGCAAATCATGGTTTAAAAACAGGGTCCAGAGATCTTTGACCCATAATGACTGTGGCATTGTTTAACTGCCCAGCATCAAGGCACCTGATAGGCTTTTGCTGTGCTCATTCATTCAAAGGTACCTTTCACCTAAATGCACTTGATAAGCTCAAGCTTTGCAGGATAAATTTGTTCACGGTTTTGGACGCTACACTGTGCCAAGGTGAACTTCAAGGAGTAGTTGCAGATTGTCAGGTGAGGATTGAAATATTCCTAAAATAGAATTCTCTCAAAATAGAATTTGCTCTGACAAAGTACAAATTCTTTCTTGGTCAGTCCATATATCAGATTTCCATTCTGCTCTTAGTTCATTATGTAATAATTGGCCTTTTATTATTGTGTGAACAGTATTTATTTTTGACTTTGTTCAACCAAATTCAGCTTCACAGAACTTTTTCCAGCTTTCCATCAGAAGTGAGATTTGTAAAAAGCTAAGTATCATTGTTAAGTGCTAAGTTTTGTGATTTTTTTTAATACTTTTTAACTTATAAGAAAAATGTACATGTTGTTGGTTTCAGAAAATGTCAAACGAACACTGTTTTTACCATGAAAGGTGAATGCACATATTGCAAGGTATTGTTAGCATGTACTCTATTGGAGCTTTTTTCCAGATGTTGTAGCATGTGTGAACGATTCCATATCTTTGATTCTTAGGAAGCTCTCAGCATATAACACTATAACAAATAGACAATTTAGATATACACAAGGTGAGACCCTCTTACTTTATTCCTGCAAACACTGTGGCCCATGCCACAATTACACTTTACTTCAGTAGACCTGCTTTGCATTTAAGGGTTTTTACAAGGTTCAACATCGATGCCAAGAGAACCAAATCATTGGAATTACCAAAGTTTCTTAGTTTGGTGGCATATATGCACAATTTTGATGTATTTAGTGGCAAATAAAATGGATATCCAAGCAGAACTTTATATTCCACTTTGTTTTCAACGTGAAATATTATGAATTATTATTATTATAAACACGTGAATTTCACATGTGCAAAAACATGAAACACATACTTTGCACATGCATGGGAAACATGGTTTTGGAACAGTTCCCATGTGGGAAAAAAAAATGGGAAATTCATGTGGTTTTTACTGGACAAATATAAATTCTTCGGCAAAATGGCCCAGATGTTATTCTGTAAGTCAAAAGTCTAACAGATCAATAACAGCAAATATTAGACTTGTAGAGCAGAATGAATTTGTATCACTATCATTGGCATCACTGGTATCCAAATGTAATGTACACTGAGAAGAAATATTGTAATTTTAACTGGAAAAGACTGTAAAAATGCTACAGTAAATACCTGTTAATAGGTTTACAGTAAGTTCCTGTACTATATACGGAGAAAAACTGTAATACACTGTAAGAACCCTTTTTGAAAGCAAAAAGAACAAATCAACTTATAATTTATTGTAGATTACAATTCACTGTGTGACAGCTCACATTTGATGTTTTTTTATTTTAATAATTACGTTTCTTATAATTTTTCGGTCGGTTATGTACATAGGCTTTTATATCACATATTATGTTGTTAAATGATTGTTTATTGCATTGTTTGAGTGTCATGTTTGTTATCATGATGGTGTCTTGAATTTATGTACATGACTCTGGTGCATCTTCTATATATTAATATGTGCATCAGCTTGTTGAAAAACTACTTGTGATGAACACTGATTCATCATGTGGTTTTCTCTTTACCACCAGTGTTATGACGGATGTCAGTATATGTAAAAAGTACAAAACAGTGACAACATGGCCTTGCTAATTCAGCAGAAATGGCTGTTGGATTTACTGGTTTAAAATGTTTTTTTTTGTTTTGTAAAAAAAAATTACAGTTTAAATTGAAAAATGTTCAGGTTGTCCTGTAAATATTTTACTGTATTTTTAAATAATTATTCTGGATGTGTAAGATAATTCTACAGAGTAAAATAAGCTGGCTTTTGTTTTTCCTGGTCCTTTCTCTTCTGTTTCCCTTCATTCTTTCTTCTCTTTTGTTTTTAAAGGTTGTGTAAGAAGATGCGTCATTCAGCACCTCTCGTTTTGTTGTCGCTCTTATGCGTATTATTTGGAATAGATGGTGGCAAAGTGTTAGTATTTCCACTGGATGGAAGTCACTGGGTGAACATGAAGGTCCTGATCGAGGAATTACACTCACGAGGTCACAACATGACGGTGCTTAGAGCCTCCAACAGCTGGTATATCAAGAAAGAGTCTCCTTTCTACAATTCCATCACCATTCAAAACACAGGAGGATTTGATGAGGACTTTTTTGGTTTAATGATCAGCCGTCTCCTGAAGATCAAAAGAGAAGGACATTCCGTTTGGAACCGCATTCAGCTGGAGTACGAAATCATCATGAAGTTTAAAAGCATGCATGAAGATATGTTGCAGATGATGGAGAGAATATTAGAAGATGAAAAAATGATAAACTCAGTCCAAGATGCTAAATACGACGTGGTGCTAGCAGACCCAGCTTCTGGAGGCGGTGCAATCCTAGCTTACAAGTTTAATATTCCTTTAGTTTTCAACGTTCGGTGGACGATTCATGGAGAGGGACATTTCGCCATTGCTCCTTCCCCCCTGTCTTATGTCCCTGTCCCAGGAGTAGAGCTAACAGACAAGATGTCATTCCTTCAACGTGTCAAGAATGTTTTGACCTACTTTTTCACCCAGTTCCAGATTGCAATCATAGCTGAACCTACCTATTCTTCTTTTTGTCGCAAACATTTTGGCCCCAACGTTCATTATTTTTCCCTTTTCCAGGATGCAGATATCTGGCTCATGAGAAATGACTTTACCTTCGAATTTCCAAGACCCACAATGCCCAATATCGTCTATATGGGCGGCTTCCAGTGCAAACCTGCCAAGCCACTTCCAGCTGATCTTGAGGAGTTTGTGCGGAGCTCAGGAGATCATGGAGTCATCGTCATGTCTCTAGGCACCCTTATTGCTCAGCTTCCACAAGACGTCACCAATGACATAGCAGCGGCATTTGCTCAGCTTCCTCAAAAAGTGATTTGGAGATATACAGGACCTCGACCTGTGACCCTTGGTAACAATACCTTACTTGTGGACTGGCTCCCCCAGAATGACCTGCTTGGACATCCTCAAACTAAAGTGTTTGTGGCACATGGAGGCACCAATGGAGTTCAGGAAGCCATCTATCATGGGATTCCCATTTTGGGTGTACCATTAGTGTTTGATCAGCCAGACAATCTCTTCAGAATGGAATCGAAGGGAACAGCAAAGATTGTAGATATTGCGACTCTGGACGGGAATGTGTTTCTAGAGGCATTAAAAGAGGTTCTGCATAACCCATCTTACAGGGAGAACATGCAGAGACTGTCCAGACTGCATCACGACCAGCCAATGAAACCTCTTGATCGTGCCGTCTTCTGGATTGAGTTTGTCATGAGGAATAGAGGAGCCCCTCATTTACGAACACAGTCTTTCAGAATGTCCTGGATTGAGTACTACTCTATAGATGTTATTTTGACTCTAACGGCGACACTTTTCATATTTGCATTTTTGATTATATATGTGATTCGATATCTTTTTAGAGTTCTGTTCAGAAAGAAAGTAAAATGTGCATGATGTGTAACTACTGTATGAGTTCGTTGTAGAAAAAATTCAAGCATTTACTGCTAATTTTGTACGGACTAGTTAGAGCTGCATTTATTCTCGGTCGAATCTTGAGCCTCAATAGATGTAATAGATCACACATACTTGGACAGACAGATGAAGACTGTATCTTGACGATGATAAAACCCACTGTAAATCCATTATGACTGTGTAAATGCACTTATTGAAGCTGTGATTGACTTCAGATTATGAAGCAATAAATAACTGAATAACTGTCTAATTGTACAGATCTAACTGAAATATTACAGATTTCTTCTCCCTCTTCCAGAATGCTGACATGATTTCATGATTTTTTTTCACCCTCTTCCATGATGCCATCAAATCATTGGTCATTTGTGCCAACTGCATTCCGTAAATTTTATTGCACTTTTCCACTGTATGGTAGCTTTGTACGGCTCACTGTTGGGGGTTTTCCACTGTGTACAGTACCTAGTACCTGGTAATTATATCTTTAGAGTTATCGTCCTTGGTGTGAACCTCTATAGTTGAATCAGTATGAGACTTTTTTGATTGTTTTAAATGATTAGTTCACCTAAAAATGTTATTTGTTTCATCATTTACTAACCCTAATGTCGTTCCAAATCTGTATGACTTTATATCTTCTGCCCTACTACCTTGCAGTTTTACAGATTATTTCAGGACAATGATATTGTATTTATCATTGTATTTGTGAAATCTTGTGTACTCTTTTAATTCGGTTATATTCTTTCTTATCAAAGGTGGTCAATTAAGATGCATCACTCCACCATTCTTGGTTTGTTCATCCTGTTATCTGCTCTGTCAAGATCTTATGCTGGTAAAGTTCTGGTCGTCCCTGTGGATGGAAGTCATTGGATTAATATGAAGGTCCTAATTGTGGAGTTGCATTCAAAAGGTCACAATATCACCGTGGTCCGGGGGTCTAGCAGCTGGTACATTGAGGAAAAGTCTCCTCTCTACACTTCCATTACGGTGGACACTGGCGAATTTGACGATGACTTCATGGAGAAGTTTCTCCCTCACATACTGAAAATGCAGAGACAAGGAAGATCATTTTGGAATGAAATGGCACTTGCTGATGAAACTTATAGGAGGTTTACAGAAATTCATCAGCAAATATGCAATATGACAGCTACAATGTTTGAAAACGAGACCTTGATGAATTCACTGAAAGATGCTGCATATGACATTGTTCTGACGGATCCTGCTTTTGGAGGTGGAGTGTTACTGGCACACCGTCTTGACCTCCCTCTTGTGTTTAATGTCCGCTGGACCATGTACGGAGAAGCCCATTTTGATATAGCTCCATCTCCTCTCTCATATATACCTGTTACAGGGTTACAGCTAACCGACAAGATGACTTTCATTCAGAGAGTAATGAACGTGATGACATATATAATGATTCTTTATAAAAATTCCAAATACTTTGGTTCTCCTTACCAAGAGTTCGCACAGAAATATTTTGGCCCCAATGTCGATTTCTTCTCCCTCCTCCAGAATGCTGACATGTGGCTAATGAGAAACGACTTCACGTTTGAGTTTCCACGACCCACAATGCCAAATGTCGTCTACATGGGTGGCTTCCAGTGCAACCCAGCTAAGCCCCTTCCAGATGATTTGGAGAAATTTGTACAGAGCTCAGGAGAGCCTGGGGTCATCATCATGACTTTAGGAACTGTTTTTGGTCAGCTTCTGAGTGAAATCAATGATGATATTGCTGCCGCTTTTGCCCAACTGCCTCAAAAGGTTATTTGGAGACACACAGGACCACGGCCTGCCAATCTTGGTAATAACACATTGATTGTGGACTGGCTCCCCCAGAATGACCTGCTTGGACATCCTCAAACTAAAGTGTTTGTGGCACATGGAGGCACCAATGGAGTTCAGGAAGCCATCTATCATGGGATTCCCATTGTTGGCATTCCTTTAGCTTTTGATCAACCTGACAATCTTTCCAGGATGCAAGCAAAGGGAACAGCAAAGATTGTAGATATTGCAACTCTGGACAGGAATGTGTTTCTAGAGGCATTAAAGGAGGTTCTGCATAACCCATCTTACAGGGAGAACATGCAGAGACTGTCCAGACTGCATCACGACCAGCCAATGAAACCTCTTGATCGTGCCGTCTTCTGGATTGAGTTTGTCATGAGGAATAGAGGAGCCCCTCATTTACGAACACAGTCTTTCAGAATGTCCTGGATTGAGTACTACTCTATAGATGTTATTTTGACTTTACTGGCAACAGTTTTTATATTTGCATTTGTGACTGTTTATACAATTAGATATTTTTGTCTAGTTGTATTCAGAAAGAAGGTGAAACGTGAATAATAGTGGCTGGAAATATCCAACGCGTTCTCATCCCGAGGCGTCATATACGACGCTTTTGCCAAAGCGTACATATCCTACGCACATGGCACCCTTTAGCGTCAATATAACACGCACAGAGAATGGGTAGGTTTAGGTCTGGGGTAGGGTTAGGGTTAGACCACTAGGAGGCGCCTTCTGCCCCATATATATCTGCGTCTCATATTTACGCTAAAGGGTGCCATGTGGGTAGGATATGTACGCTTTGGCAAAAGCGTCGTATATGACGCCTTGGGATGAGGACGGGCTCAAATATCAGTTCATTTGAAATGTTTCCAGATTGTTTCCTGACAGCATGTGTTTTCGTGAATCTTAATTTTTTTTTTAAACATTTAAATATATTAAAGAAACTGCTTTGTTTAGTCCAATGCATTTTTTAAATAATCATTTAGAACTAATTCAAAAATCTCTATACTGTGTTTCAAGCAACATTTTTGCTCTTAGTGTACCACAATCTATATAAGTAGGACTTGCTACAGACAAATATCATTCACATCTATCAGTGACAGTACAAGGGCTCAAATTAATCCCAATCATTATAATTCAATTTGGTTTTGTGTTTATGATTGAATCAACATAATTGTGAATGACTTCTCTGTAAGCTTTTGCTGAACTCTTATCTGACAGTTTTATGAAAATAAACACCCTGTAATAAAGAGGCTGTGATCATGTGTACATGATATGTTATCACCCCCTGACTCTTATACATAGTGAGACTGTGTAAAATCGGTCATTGAAGCAAACTACAGTGACTTACAGATGTAACATCTAACCTTATTACTGAAGTGGCATTTCTTGATGGGAAGGGATAAGTTAACCCTTAAATGCATTAATGTTTCGCCAATCATTATTACATATTCGGGTCTTTAGCGACCCGGATCTATATCTAACACGGATGGATCTCTACCTGTCCCAATAATATAAAACCTCTCCTGATATAAGAGTAACAATTACATAATCATTCAAATAAAGCATGTTTTGTTGCTTTTTGGAGCTTGGAAGGGTTCAGTTTGAGCAGATGTTTTATACCATCATTACTGTCCTCTTCAGAGCTCATTGATGATCTCAAACATATTCTCAAAACTATCATTTTCAACATCTTCAAAATCAATATTTTGATTGCTGACGGCTTCTTCACCAGATCCATCATAAAGTGACAGAGACACTAATATTGAATTGCATTCAGTACTTGCTCTGCAGTTAATCCCTGAACCATTTCAAGTTTTGCTGATGATACTTCCTATTATTTTGTTTTCTGCCTGTGGTAACTATGAGTGAAACATCATTGTGTATCAGACATTGCCACCTTAAAGGTAATTGCACTTATTCCATACCTGTCAACACTCCGGTTTTCCCGGTTTTCTCACGTTTTTTTTTAGCCCTATCTCCCGGACCCCTCCCGGTTTGTTATTTCTCCCGGGAAACTCCCGTAATTTGCATGGCCCAAACTCCTTTATGAATAATCGGACCAATATGTTTGTCTAATGTTGACCAGTTGCCAGATCTTGTATTAAATGCATTATATTCACGTAAATGAGCCCCTCATTTACGAACACAGTCTTTCCGAATGTCCTGGATTGAGTACTACTCTATAGATGTTATTTGGACTTTACTGGCAACAGTTTTTTTTTATATTTGCATTTGTGACTGTTTATACAATTAGGTATTTTTGTCTAGTTGTATTCAGAAAGAAGGTGAAATGTGAATAATAGTGGCTGGAAATATCAGTTCATTTGAAATGTTTCCAGATTGTTTCCTGACAGCATGTGTTTTTGTGAATCTTAAATTATTTGAAACATTAACTGGATTTTAGTCCAATGCATGAGACTTCAATATTAATTCAATATTCTCTATATTGTTTGTTATAAGCTGCATTTTTTTTAATGTACAAGAATATGTGGAATATATATATATATATATATATATATATATATATATATATATATATATATATATATATATATTTAGGACTCGCTACAAATATAATTCACATCTATCCGTGACAGTACAAGGGCTCAAATGAATCCCCTACATTATAATTAGTTTCGTTTTTGTGTTTATGATTGAGTCAACAGAATTGTGAATGACTTTTCTGTATAAGCTTTTGCTGAACTCTTATCTGACAAAGTTTTCTGAACACCCTGCAATTAAAGAGGCATCTGGTCATGAGTTCATGATGATATGTTATCACTCCCTGACTCTAAAATCTGTCATCTTTTCCACCATCGAGCCTAAAGGTTCTAAGAACGGTTCCAATTATATTTCCACTTGAGCCTGGTACGGCACTGTGCGATTACAAAATGTTCTCGCCCCGGAATTCTCAGCATGGTTAGCTAATTACCAATCAGCCAATTTCTCTGTAAGTGCGCTATTTGAGGTTTGTAAAGACAGAAGGACAGAAGACGTTTGAATAACAACTGAACGAGGTCAGGGTCAGTCATCAACCTGACCTCGCCAAGGTCAGAATAATCATAGAGTTAAATTCACTTTTACAATCATAATCAAAGTTATGAGTATCAAACCTTAGGAAAAAACTGTTCAAGTCATTTGCCTTTTTGATGCAAAGAGCCTCTTTTTTTGCTGGTTGCATATTTGTTATATATATTTTTTTAATTGAATTACACATCCTTTTGGGCTTAGACTTGTTAAAAGTTCTCTTCTACAATTTTTTTTTAATGTATTTTCCTTGCTACTTTATGCAACTGATTCAATTCTTTCTGAACCGATTTTAGTGCTACATGGTTGTGGTTTTCCTGTTAATGTAATGTTTTATCTCCTTTGTGATATAAAGTTTGTTAATTGGGTAAATAGTTACCTGTTTTTTAGTCACCACATTATCTGTACAGATATATACATAGTCAGTTATTACTTCTGGTTTCATCCATGTCAGCGCCATAAAAAATATCCCTCTCAGTACATAAGAACCAGCCTTTCAGAGACTCAATGCTGATTTCCAACCACACTGACAGATCTTTAGTCACTGGTTTAGAACTCTTCAAGACTGTCCTGTATGTTGGAATGGTGGAAAGATAATCACTTTGTGATCAGAACTTGCCAATGGGGCTTTGATTTTGCTTTACAAGCTTTCTTTACATACTCATTGCATTTGTCTAAAATTTCATTTTCTCTTAACATATTGTTCCAAACCAAATATAGTTCCAGTTTGCAGTTGTTGAAGTCTCCCAGTATAAAAACAGGTGCACTGGGTGTACGACTTTGTTGAACATATAGTCATTCATTTGCTCCAGCTCTTATTGCATAACCAGAGGGTGGAACATAAACCCCACAGATGTTGATATTCCCAAATTCTCTCTGTGAATAAAAAGGCCTTAAACTTAAGCAAAGCAGCAGTTCAACATCGGAATCACGTGGCTCTCACTGTGAGCCTTCATTCATAAACATGCACACTCCTCCACCTCAGTTCCTGACACTGCTCGACAACAGGTTATAATGAAACAAAGATCGGCTTTAAAATTCTGTCAATTTAATTGTGTAAATGTGTTTACGTGAACCGAACATTCTCTTTACTAGGCTACTAGTTAATAGTAGGCCTAAATAAGCACGGATTAGCATTGGAAGGTAGCTATATGTTGAAAGATAGGTTACACTACAACCGAAATATTTATCATGTCTCATAATCGATCGATCAATCAATGTTTCAACCGCGGAAAAACGTCATGTAACGTTACATTTAGCCTACCTCAGGAAAGCCATTCAATGACCATAGCATATAGTAGGCCTATTGCTAGAAAAATTAACTAGAGTAGCCTATATTTTGCTAAATATAGGCTATGCACTATTACACATTTATATTTTTACTCATATCATTAAAATAGCCTACTATAACGTTATTATTGTGAATATTATATTATTATTATTATAGTTATTTCATTTGTTCATTTTAACATTTAATAATATTACCATATGTCCATACTAATCTGACTGTTTACAGCATAGGCTATAGAGATTTTTTTCCTGTGAAAAATTAACAAGTAGCTATACTGTAGGCTACCTGATATTTCCAAATTAATCGATATTGAATCAAGACTGGAATCAAATTGAAATCGTGAAATTTGTATCAAGCACTAATAAAACAGTAGAGCCTATATGTAAACATTGATTGTAACTTAATGAAATTCTGTTTAGTTACCAATGTTTTGACAATCACAACACTTATTGTGATGCAATTATTATTATTCTTTTTTTTTTGTTACATTTTTACATTATTTTTCTGGAAATAATGAATTGGAAAAAGTTTAAAGTCCCTGTAAAGTCAACTTGAAGTATGTGTTCTGAGTTTGTCATATCACAGAAAAATTTGTTATTAGACACCCAGCCAAATTTGAATGATAAAAAAATCTGGCAAGTAGGCTACATAAAATAAGCTATCAAAATCTTGAAAAAATGAGCAGTAGTCTCTGCTCTCAAACGCTGGGGGCGTGTCCGTTGGCTGCGCTGAAACCATGCCCACTCGTGGTAAAGCTGCCGTCGCCACAATCAACTGTCACCCTACAACAGGTGTTGTGCCTAATTCCGACCCACCGGCTGAAGACTACCCCCCTTCGCGTGCACGCGGACAGTACCCTGGACAGTACCGCCGTGTTTCCTGTAGATGGCAGTTAAAACACGCAATGTTCGGTCAAATGCTTCACTGATCCCTACTCCAAACGTTCAAATTGAAGAAAATCTATGGATTTTCCTGTAGATGGCAGTATAAACTCAGAAACGTAATGAATTGCTTTTCAACCCTAATCGTAGAGGAGACTGGCATGTCCGTTGCAAATCTCTTTTGATAAATGTGTTTTGGCTCATATTGCCACTTACAACGAAATGTTTATAATACTCCAATAAACTTATGAACTAAAATAATAATAAAATTATTGGGGGGGGGGGGGGGGGGGGGGGGGGGGTATTATTTGGGCAGGTCTGTTTTTACCCACCTGCCTGGATTATACCCCCCTATTTCTTCTCTCTA